CTGTGTATAAGCACCGTGGAGAGGGTCCGAGTGTGAGAGCTGTAAATCAGGACCTTGGAGAGGGTCTGAATGTGAGCGCTGTGAATCAGCATCTTGGAAAGTGTTTGAGTGCGAGAGCTGTGTATAAGCACCGTGGAGAGGGTCCGAGTGTGAGAGCTGTAAATCAGGACCTTGGAGAGGGTCCGAGTGCGTAAGCTGTGTAAGAGCACCATGGAATGGGTCTGAGTGGGAGCGCTGTGAATGAGCATTTTGGAGATGGTCTGAGTGTGAGCGCTGTGAATCAGCATCTTGGAGAGGGTCCGAGTGTGAGCGCTGTGAATGAGCATTTTGGAGAGGTCCCAGTGTGAGCGCTGTGAATGAGCATCTTCGAGAGGGTCTGAATGTGAACGCTGTGAATCAGCATCTTGGAAAGGGTCTAAGTGTGAGCGCTGTGAATCAGCATCTTGGAGAGGGTCTGAATGTGAGCGCTGTGAATCAGCACCTTGGAGAGGGTCCGAGTGTGAGCGCTGTGAATCAGCATCTTGGAAAGGGTCTGAGTGTGAGCGCTGTGTATCAGCATCTTGGAGAGGGTCCGAGTGTGAGCGCTGTGAATCAGCACCTTGGAGTGGGTCCGAGTGTGAGCGCTGTGAATCAGCACCTTGGAGAGAGTCTGAATGTGAGATCTGTGAATCAGCACCTTGGAGAGAGTCTGAATGTGACATCTTTGAATCAGCACCTTGGAGAGAGTCAGAGTGTGAGAGCTGTGAGTCAGAACCTTGGAGAGAGTCGGAGTGTGAGTGTTGTGACTCAGAATCTTAGCGAGAGTCTGAGTGTGAGAACCATGAATCAGCACCAGAGAGCAAGTCTTTGGATGAGTCCCACCAGTCGGCAGAATGGTCAGAGCGTGTGTATGACCACCGTGAATCGGGGCCATAGAGAGAGTCTGAGTATGACCACTGTGAATCAGGACCATGGAGAGAGTCTCAGCCTAAAGATCACGAATCAGCACAATGGAGATGGTGTCAGAATAAAAATCGAATCAGCACTAAACACAGTAGCACAACAACAAGTACACTAAAGTGTGGGTTCAGGAAGATAAAGGCAGAGTAGCGATGAGCCAGGTGGCTGGAAATGGAGAGAGCTGGCAGGACAGGGGAGGGACTGGGTGACAAAGAGATGGCGCTCAGTGGGTGGGGCAGTTAGTGGCACCTGAAGGTGGACACAAAGACACTGAGCAGCCACCACAGCTGGGCGCACACGCACACTGGGCCTCCCTGGCCCTCCCTTTCCTCTCCCTCCCCCCATCTCTTGGGCTCCTTCCTCCTCCCTGCCTCTCTCCGCCATGCTCAGTTGTGAAATGCCCGCCCTACTGTAGGGAGAGGATGCCAGGAAAATCAGGAGGGTGAGAATGAGCTCCAGAGGCAGGGCATCAGGAGGCCGGCAGTAACGCGCGCCGACACGCAGTCGCACCAATCCGCACACACCCAAGCGCACTGATGCAGCCCGACAGCGCAGCCTGCACCCATACAGCGGCACAGGGGCCCTGGTCCGCAAGGATGGGAGGGAAGCAGGGCACGTGTGCACTTCCTGTCAGTGGCGGTATCCTGTTTGCGTGCTCATTGTGGAGTGTATGCACTGCACCAGCGCAGGATGTCGGCCAGGGCGTTTGTGCGCATGGTGTTATTTTGCAAGCAATAAAATTGGCAGCATTTCTTTACCACGTTTTGGTGCGGGTATCCTGCGTCCATTTAGGCGTTTCTGCTTTCTTTGTGTGTGTGTGTGTGAGTGTGCGCGCGCGTGCGTGTGTGTGTGTATGTGTGTGTGTGTGTGTGTGTGTGTGTGTGTGTGTGTACCCATGCAGTGCTGTGCGACAGAGCTTGTGAATAATACATCAGGGCCTCCCTTGTCAGAGCTGTGACTTCAAAGCTCAACACACACTGAGCTACAGGAGACAGAGGGAGCAAGTGGAGAGGGAGGCTGGCTCTCCCCGAAATACCAACCCATTTCCAGCAGCCTCCTTTTCTCTCTCCAGCACACAAAGTCACCTTCTCCTGTGCCACCTTTAGCACTTTCGCTCTCTCTCTATAAATCTCTATAAAGCGGTCACACCCTTCCTAATATCATAATCTCCTCATCATGCTTCATCTTTTCTCTCCTTATTTTATGTTTCCTTCTTAATGTTCTCACGTCTTTTTCCTGCCCTGGTTTTGTCTGTCTTGTCTTGTCTATCTGGGAGGACAGAATCCTTGAGGGTGAGGGATGAGTCTTGGATCATCATGCTACCCACAGAAAATGATATCGTGCTCTTTTCGCCAAAGGTCCTAGAGTAGGCGGCATCTCACCAATAAATGTTTTATGCACACTTAAAATCATTATGTACACTGTGGATGGCTGCAGGGTCAGCATCCCGATCTCTCTACTTCTCTTCATGTCAACAAGAGCAAAATAAATTTGCTTTCGTGACTTTTGCACTCAGTGTTGAGTGTGTCGAACAGTCATTTGGACGCGACATTAGAGAAACTCTGCGTCACGCAAACACATTCAGGACTAAAGAAGTAAAGAGCGTTCCATTTGTAGGAATCATGGCAGTCTAATGTAAAGGTCAAAGCCTTTGACAGGTGCAGAATAAGCTTACCTAGTGCTCATGTTTCAGCTGATATTGAGCGTTTATTTATGAGACAGCAAAAAGCTCCATAATAGACCTCCTGTGACTAGCCTTATTACACCAAACTGACTCCGGGCTTCTGTTCTCCCCAGTCCTAAAACCAATACCCACTGTTATTGTGAATATTATAATTGTGACATGTGCTTCGAGAGTGATACTGAAGTCCACAGAAATGAGGGGATCTTTGGCCAGTAAATTCTTCCCCTCCTTATTTGGTTCCTTGAATTAAATGTAGAATATACTGTATATTAGGCATATACTATATTTGTGCAATAGTCATTAAAGAATTCTGTTTTCACAGTGTTATTACCTGTGACCTAAGAGCACTAATCTTCCAGAGTCACCCCAGCGGTCGTCATAGGCCCTTTCACATGATTAAGTTAGCCGTCTTGATGATAAACATTCTCACGCCCCACTGATGCAGCATACATACATGCATACATACATATTAGCCTTTTGAATCATGCTAGTTTTATGGTGGACGTACATAAGTAGTCGTTAATGCACACACATAAATACACGCACAATGTCACAGTTTAAACCAGTGCAGCAGGGAGAGAGGAGATGCTAACCCCCCTCTCTCCCCACCCCCACCTAATCATCCTCCTCATTCTGCTCATCCTTCTCATCCCCTTTCCAACCTCTCAATTTTCCACTTTTATTTCCTATGCCAATTCCCCTCTTTTCCCTTCCCTTTCCCTCCCCCCCCCCCCCCCCCCCCCCCCCCCCCCCCCCCCCCCTCCCCCCCCCCCCCCCCCCCACCTTTAACATAACCACCCTACTTCCTGGCCTGCACTTCCCCCTCTCTTCTGCCACCACGACGCAATCCAGGCCCGCCCAGCATCCGGGCCATGCGCAACATCACCGCCGTGGCGGGTCGCAACACCTTCATCAACTGCCGGGTGATCGGTTACCCCTACTACTCCATCAAGTGGTACAAGGATGCCCTGCTGCTGCCCGACAACCACCGGCAGGTGGTGTACGAGAACGGTACGCTGAAACTGAGCGATGTGCAGAAGGGCATGGACGAGGGTGCCTACGTGTGCAGCGTGCTCATCCAGCCGCAGCTCTCCATCAGCGAGAGCGTCTACGTCACCGTCAAAGGTGAGGCCTGGGAGCCTAAACTGTGTGCAGGTTTCATGCTGTGTTCATGCAGGTACTTTGCCCTAACCTAGAATGGCTTCCATCTAAAGAGAAACACTGACCTAAACTGTGTGCAGGTTTCATGCTGTATATTACATTCTGTACTGAATGCTAGTGTTCATGCAGGTACTTTGCCCTAACCTAGAATGGCTTCCATCTAAAAAATGACTGGTTTCTGCCTGAATTTCGTTTGATCCCTTATAACGATTCCATGTTTAAATCTGTGGTTATTTTTTCACGTTAAATACTCTTGATATCTGACTTCGATATGTCTGGACATAAAAAAAAAAATTGGTATATGAGTTGAGCAACCCATAATGCACCACGTTCTTTGGTGGCCTGCAGATTCACTCTACTGTTCACACACGTTCTTTCTAAGGGTTCTTGTGGCTGCTGAGTGCCGCCCAAAATGATCACCAGGCTCCATTTCCATTGCTAAGGAAGAAATCCATGGCCTCTTATTATAAGGATTAATAACTTATTATCCACTTATCATCTGCTGACTCTGCATATGTGCGGCTGAGTTTCATTTTGGTGACAGAAACAGTGTAGCAGTATTGTTTGTGTGTGTGTGTTCACAGTGTGATGAAAGCCTGTTATTTTTACCCCGCAAAGGCATTATTTTTGGTCCCCACAATAGGAAACTCAGTTTTATGGAAATCTGTGAATGTAATCAAAAAAATGAAAAATGCCAGTGTCGTATTTTGTTTGGTTACTTATGATTAAGGTTAGAGCTGGGATTAGGGGTCAAGGTTGTCATAGTTGGGATTAGAGTTATGTCCATAGAAATTAATAAAGAGTCCCGACAAAGATATAGATACCGCGTGTGTGTGTGTGTGTGTGTGAGAGAGAGAGAGAGAGAGAGAGAGAGAGACTAAGAACAGCCACCATAGTGTGTGTATGTGACAGATTTTAAGGACACTATGTGAGTTTTCTGTGTGTCTCACTCTTCTGTATGATGTGGGCCTTGTCTTGTCATGTCACTGATTTAATTAGATGAAATATAACGAGCCCCAGATTAAATCCCCCAGATGTCTCAGCTGTTGCACACACCCCCCACCCCCCATTATTGCTGCTATGGAAACAGTATTATTCTCTTTGCCAATTGGACTCAAATTAGAGCAGCTATTATGGGCTGGAGACGATGGGGGGCATGGAGACATAAGGGTCTAGGATTATACTGCAGATCATAGATGGCTTTGCACAACAAACCTCTATTGCATCCTTTTTCACTGTCAGCCAGTAGAAATGTTAACGTGCAGTTTACTGTCTCTTTTCCCCTCATTTGCCCTATACTTGCCTCCTGTTACCCCTCTTACTGATTTAAATTCCTTTTGTTGTGACCTTTTTTCTTCATTTTCTATCTTCACCCTCTATCCACTTGCCCAACTTCTGATCCTCTCCATACCTCAAATCGTTACCCATCTCGTCCTTCTATACTTATTTGCCCTCTTAATCTCTTCTTTGACCATTTCATACTTCTTTTTTTTTCTCAACCCCATCCTCTCTTTCTAAACCCCACCCTCACCCCCAATACTTCCTTCCTTGCCCCAAGTCCCACCCCTGATCCAGCCCTTTGACTTCCCACCGACCTCCATCGGGAAGCTAATGTACATCGCCTGCGTGGTCTCTTCGGGCGACATGCCCATCCGCATCACCTGGCGCAAGGATGGGCAGGAGATCGTGTCAGGTTCCTCGGGCGTCAACATTGAGACCAAAGAGTTCATGAGCTCCCTACAGATACCCAAGGTCTCGCTCAAGCACAATGGCAACTATACCTGTATAGCTAGCAACGACGCCGCCACAGTGAGCTCGGAGAGGCAGCTCATCGTCACAGGTAAGACGGGAATTCATCACTCATCCTTCCGAACAAGAGAGAAGGAGGGCGGAGAGGGTAGGGACAGGGGGAAACGAGTAACGTGTCATGTGAGGAGGATAAAGAGGAGTATGACAAATTAAATGGGATAGAGGATGGAAATGACAAGATTTAAAGTTTGAGGGATTGAAAAGGGAAAAAGCGTCATCTCTCAAGAGGTGGGAGATGATGAAAAAGGTAACTTCAGACTCTTGACTGGGGTAGTGTCGTGTTTACAGTGATCATGGTTTTATAGTGTCTTATGAGTTGTTTAATGTTGTAGCTGTGCATTAAAACTGACTGAGTGTAACCTTCTCTCACTCTGCCCCCAGTACCCCCACGGTTTGTAGTCCAGCCGAATAATCAGGATGGAATCTATGGCAAAGCGGGGGTCCTGAATTGTTCTGTAGATGGTTACCCCCCACCCAAAGTGATGTGGAAGCACGCCAAAGGTATGTGTTTTGAGCCTGCTATCAGTTATTCGCATGATTACGCATGTGACAAAGCTGAAGAAGAAAGTACTGGCATTCTGTGTAACGGCATGTATTTCAGTCCTTTGACTCACTCCCCCCAATCCCAGGTATAGGAAACCCCCAGCAGTACCACCCAGTGCCTCTGACCGGTCGGATCCAGATCATGGCTAATGGGTCCCTGCTGATCCGGCACGTCCTGGAGGAGGACCGTGGGTACTACCTGTGCCAGGCCAGCAACGGCGTGGGCTCTGACATCAGCAAGAGCATGGTGCTGACCGTGAAGAGTGAGTCCAGCCCAAGCACAGCCGCAAACCACATACCGTCAGGCGTCTGGCTCGAAATGCTTGTGGGTCCACAGCCGTAGAGCGCTGGACAGGACGTATTAGGGACTTTGATCTGTCCCAGGGGACTTCAGGATTTAAATTCTTCGCTTCAGAAAACAGACTGGGCTGACCCATCAATTCACCCCCCTAAATATAGACACTTGGACAATGCCCTGATCACCTCATCAATCTCAGGACGCATAGCCATTTACATGTCGTCGGCTTTGCCGCAAATCAATGATCTGGCTCTCTTGACAATTACACAGCCCCGGAGAGTGATGCGTGCAGAGAGCAGAGCACGAACAAAAGACAAAGGAACGAGATGATAATGAGAACAGAGGGAGGGGGGCCCGGGGTAACAAAGAACAGAGTGGGAACAAGAGGGGGCGCCAGCTGCAGTGTATGTGTGTGTGTGTGTGTGTGTGTGTGTGTGTTTGTGCGCGTGTTTGCATTTCTGCTGGTGTGTTATGCACAAGCATGTACAGGCAAGCTATCAGTTGTTTTTTTCCAGCTTTTGATTTCTCACAAGGAAAATACAAGATCATATGAACATTCCCCCAGATACAAGTGGAAAAAAATACAAAAATAGAAATAAGAGGAGTTATGGAAGTAGGTTTCACAATACCTCAGTGAACAGTTGGCATGTCAGTGGCAGTTAAGCTCAGACCAGAAATCGACAGAAGCAGATACTGGCCCAAACATGCACTCTGGTTAGTTGTGTTCTTACAATGCTTAGTATGTTATAAAATGACCGTCTCGGTAACTCAATAATTCTTGTATGAAAAACGGAACTTAAACATCAGTGGTATCACATATTTTTGAATCATGAGGTACCGACAGCAGCATGGTTCTGGATCATCAACTAAGAACCCACATAACCCATAAAATAAGCCGAATATTATAGCTGAATGCTATTTTACACTCAAGATTCTGCAGTGAATTTTTTCGACTTTAGATCATTTTAATCGTACTGTAAGGCCTTGCATTAATTCCCAGTTTAGGCTCCTTTGTGCTGTTTTGCTCATATCTGTGTTTATGTGCTGTGATGCCCTCCCTCTCTTTATAAAAGGCAGGTAATGCCTTCAAAAGCACTGTGAAAGCTCAATAGTGGATTGCCCTGTCTGTTTCCCCTTTAGAGCAAACAGAGTCATTATCCTCTCCCTTGCTCGCTCTCTCTCTCTCTCTCTCTCTCTCTCTCGCTTTCGCTCTCTCTCCCTCTCGCACTCTGTGGTACAAGGCGGTGTTAGTGTTATTGATTGAATCGTTCCTCTCCTCTGCTTCCCTCAATCCAGTCTGCCGCACACAGCGAAGTACGGGAGACTGGGGAGGATGAATAAGTGATGAAAACAAAACAGCAGAACCCCCTTGGATCAATAAAGAGTCGGGGGGGTGGGGGGGGTGCATACAAGGGCCAGGGAAGACTGTGTGGGAGAGGACAAGACATACAGGCTAGAGTCAGATTCTTGGGCCGCCACCATGAACTCCAGGAAGGATTTCATCCTTTAAACAAGTGCCCTTTCTTCCTTTTTTCCCCTTCTTCTCCTCCTCTGTTGTGTGTCTTCACTTTCCCTCCATGCTTGTGAATGTCTGTCCATTCTCCCTTCTTCTTGACACATTTATTTTGTTCTAATCCCTCTCCCGCCTCCTTTTTGCCCCCCCCCCCCCAGTCCCTGCCATGATCACCTCTCACCCCAACACCACGATCGCCATTAAGGGACAGGAGAAGGAGCTGACCTGCACTGCACGCGGCGAGTGGCCCATAATCATCCGCTGGGAGCGCGGGGACACCGTCATCGACACCGACCGCAACCCCCGCTACTCCATCACCAGCTCCAACGAGAAGAGTGACGAGGTCATCTCTACCCTCAAGGTGAGGCAGCCTCGGACCTGGATCTCCCCTCTTATACGCCCCCATTTTCCGGTAGTGAGGTTGTTAAAAAGCCAGATTTTGCCAGCGCGTCCCTCTCTCTATGGCTATGATATATAAATGCATTTCATCATGAAAAACATACAATGAGTCGCATGCTTGATCTGAAAGTAAATCAGCCATTCATAAAGGGTGTTCATAAGAGTGCTGCTTGTGTGAGGCGTTGGGGGCTAGCAGTTAGCCTCTTTTAAGGGAGGGGCTTCTGAAGACGAGTTTCTGGAGAAAGCAGAACTCCCGTCCCACGTAGCGGGATGCCGCAGACGTCCTGGCGGCTGGGATCCACCATCTTCCGGGACGATAACGACAGCTGCCTTCTCTCCCTCCCTGTTCCCCTGTAGCTGAAGCCTGCCGAACGCGGAGACTCTGTCTTCTTCTCCTGCCACGCCATCAATTCGTACGGAGAGGGCCGAGGCCTCATCCAGTTAACCGTGCAAGGTCCGAAGCCCACGTAGTGGCACCGGCATGTAGCCTTTCCTTCAGCCCGCTCACCATGCTCCCTAACAGTAACTGGAGGAGGAAGTATCCAGGAAGAACATCACTCTTATTCTGGGGTCACTCTTAAATAACAAAGGATGTTGCACACTATAGGTCTTATTTAAACCATGGAGTTTTTAATTCTTTTTCTTATTATTATTATTCTTATTTCTGCTTATTTATCCTTATTATCATTCAGTATTTTTTCTTTCTGCTCCCAAACACATGTTATTATAAGTAAAACTATAGCATTAATATCAAACTGGCATCCATTCTATGCCCTATGGTTCCTGAGACTCACCCTGACCCTGGAAATGTGACTACAGAAGATAAAGGGGTGAATGAACAAAAACATTAACCACAAGTGCTCTGTCCTTCCGCAGAGCCCCCTGACCCCCCAGAGCTGGAGGTCCGGGAGGTGAAGGACCGTAGCATGAACCTCCGCTGGACCCAGAGGTTCGACGGCAACAGCATGATCACCAGCTTCGACATCGAGTACAAGAACAAATCCGGTATGTGTGTCTTGCTAGACCCCCTCCTAGTCACCACGGCATGGTGCGTGTCTTCAGGCCCATGACCTTACATTTGGCTCCTCATAAAAGAGCATCTTGGTCACAGAAAAGGGTTTCAGACTGAGCTGTAATGTAGTTTACTCTCTTATCAGACACGTATCCAAAGTAAACAGAGATGTAGGTCTTTGTACAGCAGTGTCCCTGAAGGAGAAGCCCTGCTTGTTACGCACTCTGCTGCCCGCTGCCCCTATCCCCTCTGCCAGCCATTTGTAAATGTTCTTCACGACCTCATGATGGAGTAACCTGACATCTCAATTGATAAAAGAGTTGGTCGCGCTCTGCTCAATTTTGTGGTCGTCGAGAGTTCATGGCCTGCGAACTGTGCCAGTTTATGCGGGGAGTCCATTGATGTCCGCTCCAGTACTCCCGGATAATGTACTGATAAAAGAACTAATGCGTGCCCTCAGCGTATCACCATTTTACAAACAAAGAGGTGCACCTCAGAGGAAAATAAAGTACGAGATATAATGGAAATGTTTATAGGGTGGACTAAAGCTTTGAGTGTCCATCGATTTTACTTTTAACACAGTGTTCGAAATAAAATTAAAGGCACTGGAGGCAGTGAAAGGTGCTCTGCTCTGCGCTGCTACAGAGAATTGCGCTGAAGTGTTTTCTTTCCCCTTCTTTCTCGCTCCCTCAGACACCTGGGACTTGAAACACGCCACCCGCAAGATCGCGCCCACAAACCACCAGGCCAACATCGTGGAGCTGCATCCAGCCTCCGTCTACAGCATCCGCATGTACTCCTACAACAAGATTGGTCGCAGCCAGGCCAGCAAGGAGCTCACCGTCAGCACAGAGGAAGCGCGTAGGTCCCGAAAACGCGTAGGTCCCGAAAGCGCGTAGGTCCCGAAAGCGCGTGGTCCAGGGGGCTAAGGCCGCTCAGCCCAGCATCATCCAAAAGTCAATATGGCGGTCAGGATGGCAGGTAGGAAATACAGACATGTAATTCTGACCCGCGCCATCTCCTCTGCAGAGCCCGATGGTCCTCCAATGGATGTGACCCTGCAGCCAATGACATCGCAGAGCATCCGTGTGACCTGGAAGGTAACCTGCATGCTCTCATCGTGCCTAAAGTTCCTTTCTGGATAGAACTGCACACATACTCACACATACCTACATATACATGCGCACACAGGCATGCATATTTATGAGCATATTTCCGCACTTCACAATAATAATGCTGAAACATTACTGTGATATTAAATATATTGTTTTGTATTGTTGGAATATTCAATTGCCTTTTCCCCTGAAGTATGCATAATTCATGCATCATGTTTTTCTTAATCTTCGCCCCTTTTTGCGACCGTCAGCGCTTTGCTCCTCCGTTCTTGACTCAGTCATTCTTCTCCATTTGTAGGCCCCAAAAAAGGAGCTGCAGAACGGGGTGATCCGGGGCTACCAGATCGGGTACCGGGAGAACGGCCCAGGCAGCAACGGCCAGTACAGCATCGTGGAGATGAAGGCCACGGGCGACAGCGAGGTCTATACCCTGGACAACCTGAAGAAGTTCGCCCAGTATGGGGTGGTGGTCCAGGCCTTCAACCGTGCCGGGACTGGACCCTCCAGCTCCGAGATCAACGCCACCACTCTGGAGGACGGTACGAGCCGAGGTGTCGTGGGAGGAGCTTCTGAGAGCGTCCATCGAAACATTTCACTCAATGTCTAGCCATAAGCGCCATGCATACTGACCATCCTTTACCCCCGCCCTGCACCACGCACAGACATGCACGCGTCTGCATAGGCAGGCGAGCAGACGCACGCAGCCGTACGTGTACGCGCCTGGGTCAGCTGACTAAGACGTGCTCTCACACCGATATCAAGGTGGGCCGCTGACCGGCAAAACTGCTGCCAGTATTAGTTTGCACACCTTATAGGGAAGACCTCCTGCATCGCCTCTGGATTTATTTGCAGTTTTCTGCATAGTCTTGGCAGCCATCCTGACCAGGGATGTGTGTGCCCACAAAGCACAATAGAGGCGACGCAATCGGAAATCCCCCTACATCTGGAATATTCTCCGGAGGAGCTATGTTTTCTTTCGCTCCCTTTCGTTTGCTTCTCTTTGTAATCAGTCTGCCCGACTGACTCTAACTCCACATACATGCAAAACGTAAATATAGACATGCTTAAAAAAAAAAAGGAGAGGAGAATTGGAAGCCCTTTCTAACAGCCTCTCCCTCATCATCCCTCACTCTTTAATTAGCACACTCATTAGACTGTCAGATAGGGAGGGAGAAGGGGCCCCATTACGGCCATAAAACAACAGAGGCTGCCCGCCTATCCCAGCCACCCCCCTCCTCTGCCTCCATCTTCCTCATTTGGCTGCATCTCTGGATCTTCACGGGCCTGCCTTCCGCCTCCTCGCATACAATCTCCCATAATGCCTCACTCCTTATCCCCTCACTTACGCCATCACTGTTTGCCCATTTGATGCCGTCGACAGACGTTCCTTAGAAACGGTCGCGCTCCCCTTTTCTTCCGTCTGTCTGTTGTGAGATGCGCTTATCCGCTATTTACCGCAGCAGCCGTGAATTTAAACCAGAATTCAAGCCGGCCCAGTAAGAGTCGCGCCACCCTCTCCGTTCATTATGGCGCCTGAAGGAGTGTGGGGCGCCGGCTCCTTTGAAAGTGCCCCGGCACCGAGCGCCGCTAAGATGGGTGGGACAGCACCGGCCCGGCAGCAGGCCCCCCCACCATGGCCAGCGCCACAAAGCCCGTGATATTGATGCCAATAATGATGATGATGATAATAACAAGCGTAGTAAAAACCATTACAATTAGCTTGTCTACGGGGTCTCCTTTTTTGTTTTCCTGGAGGTGTAATTACCCGCAGCTGAATGCGTCGTCTGCTGGATCCCTCTTTTCATCTTTTTCCCTCCCTTCTCTCCCCCCTCTGCCTGCCCTCCTTCCCGCTCCAAAAGCCACCTTTCATTTCCTCTCTCCTCTGTCTCTTCCTGCCTCTCATAGGCCACCTCATGCTTGGCAGCCCTCAGTTCTTTTTTTCTTTCTCTCCCTCTCTCTCTCTCTCTTTCCTTTCTCCCCTCTCCTCTCATCTTCTATCGCTCCCACCCTGCATGCGCGAGAGGAGTAGAAAAGTAATGAATGAGCCGTGATTGTGGACTGAGCAGTAATGTTGTTTCCTAAATGGCAGTTAGTGTGAAGGCTGTCTGGGGTTGTCGCTGAGGGGGTGAGGGGGGGTCGGAGCAGAGCCGGGCCCCGGGGCCCCTTCACTGAACACCATTATTTCCTTACGCCCCCCTCTCCGCCTCACCCCAGCTGCGTCTTTACTGGGCTGTGGCCAGTTAGCTTCCTGCCTCTTCCTCCGCCTCTCTCTTCTTCATTCATTCCCGTTCTCTTCCCGTCCTTTCGGTGCTTCTCCGATAAATGCTCCGGTTCAGGCCGGACTCTAAAGCATCTTTATTTCTCAGACCAAAGCAAACAGTACACTTGTGTTGGTGGCAGGCATCTGGCGTGGAGGTGGGGGGGTGTTGTCAGGGAGGGCACAACAAGCGGGGAATTGATCGTGAAATCCTAACCATATAACTCGGGCATAGAAAAACGTTAAAAAAAACGCGATACGTGCATGATTATTCGCGTCGGGAATAAAGGGGGTGCTGTGTAATTAACCTCTCATTACAACGCGAGGCCGCGAAACTCCGGGAAAAGCGGGCAGCGTGACGTGACAGAATAATAGCAGAATATCAAGCGGATGAAAAAATAAGCCGCAATAATGATACTGTAAAGTCGACGGAAGCAACAAGGAGCACATTTGTTACAAGGCAGATGTAGCGAATTCAGGGGCAGCGGGGTGGTAAAGGAAGCATTAGGGATGAAACTTGGGGAAAAAATAGCATTTCTGTTCACCATGTAACGGCTTGAGACCATTGATTCTGCATTCATTTAAAACTATTCCATATCTCTTATTATTTTGTCTGGTTGTGGCAGTTTATCATAGAAACCCCAAGATGTGTCTGTAAGGATTTCATGGTGCCTGTGTACGTTTTACCCTTTACTGTTAGAGAGACTTTTATTTTGACGTAGCCCAATCAGTATACACTGTACTGACACTGTGTTAATTAGTTAACCTCTCTCTCTCTCTCTCTCTCTCTCTCTTTTTCTCATTCTTCTTCATCCCTCTCGTCCTCCCCCCAGTGCCCAGCCAACCCCCCCAGAATGTGCGTGCGGTCACCGTCACCTCAGACGAGGCGGTCATCACATGGTCGGAACCCCCACGGATGACCTTGAACGGGGTGCTGAAGGGCTACCGCGTGGTGTTCTGGTCCATCTTCCCTGATGGAGGTGGGTGCTGCGAGGGGGGGGGCAGCTCTGACTAATTATGACTGCAGCCGTTCTAAATGTCTCCCTCAATCCTAAAGGCTCCCCAGATCTCAGCTTTTATTACACTCCCCAAAGGATCCCACGCCCCCAGAGACATGTTTGTGTGTGTAAGCATGTATTTACCTGGAGTGTTGTTGGTCAGAGTCTAGCTGTTCGTGTTGAGTTCTGATGAACTGTATTGTCATTTCTTATTGCTGTGTATGTGTCAGCTGTTCTTATGAATGTGCTGGTGTGTATTAGTGGATAGTTGCAGTTTATGTAAAGTGCTAGACTTGAATGGCAATCCTTATGCAACTTTAAGTGCTGTTGAGTATCTAATGTGTAAACTCTTGTGTCTTCAATTGCATGAAAATGCTCTGACAGTCCATGAAATGTATGTGCCTGATGCTTATTTATTGTAGGGAAATGGAGCCTTTTTGTATGATCGTATTGCACCAGTTCATCTCCATCTAATCTATGTATTGTGAATATTTCTCTGTACCGTGCTTTATTTATAATTCTAGTTATAAATCCTCATAGAATCATTAACTCAGACTGACATAATGTCATTCCTTTGCCCTATAAATAATCTGTCTTTATCATCCCTTCTTCCACTCTGCATCCGTCTTACCTGCTTTCACTCTCCTTGCCTTCCTTTCCCCCTCAGAATGGGGAGAGATGCAGAACATCACCACGACGCGGGAGCAGGTGGAGCTGAGGGGCCTGGAGAAGTTCACCAACTACAGCGTGCAGGTGCTGGCCTACACGCAGGCCGGGGACGGGGTGCGCAGCAACGTGCTCTACATCCAGACCCGGGAGGACCGTGAGTATTCTCACTATTCTCACTATTCACCTCGGCGCTTTCTGCACCAGCATGTCATCTATCTAAAACTATCTCAACATTTATTAACAATGAAAGCAGCTCATTGCTACTCCTTATTCTCGGGCCTGACATAGTCTGATGTAGACTTAAATCTTTCTTAATTTATAATTTTATTCCAAATGTACTTCCAGTCCCCTGAACAAGCTGTTGACCCCCTATGTGGCCACAGGTTCCATCACAGTTCTATAATTAACATCCTTTAGCAAGCCTACTATGTCACATTAATCATCAAAGCTTATTTTTCATTTTTTTGCACAAATGAAACACTCGTGTGGAAAGCTTTTTGACAGCAGCTGGATACACAGGATGATGAAAGGTTTTGGTTGTGAACAGGGAACCAGTTTAGCTGAAGGGATTGAATATTGGCTAGAGACCATCACACAGGCAGATTACACTACCCACTGCGTATCAACTTCTCATTATTTAATCAGACCGGAACATTTCCAAATTTTGGTATATCTTCGCTAGCCGCTGCTTGATTTTTTTTTCTTGCTAATCAATGCACGATCTTCACCTCTCTGTGCTCACAACTGGTAACTGGTATGCTGGGCAGGCACTGGCAGCCGCTCTGGGTATGCAGGGTATGCGTATTTTTCAACAGCCAATCAGATTATGGCAGATGGCTTCCGGAATTAATCGAGAAACATTACCAGTGTGCAGCACACAGCTACAGCACAGATGCCCTAGTGGTAGCGAATGACAGTGCTTCCACAAAAACTGCTAGGGGCAGTGACCAATCAAGTTCCTTTTTAATGTGTCCACAGCAACAGTTACTAAATATATCCTGTGCTATCTAGCCAGCAGTAATGTCTTGTTTTGTTAAAATTTATCAGATTTGTTAACAGTTTTATTATTTTGTTCATAGGTGAGTTCAATTTCGATTTATGCATTTTCATTTTCAAGTTTATGAAGGGATATATCTAGAGCTGCTGATCTATTAACAGATCATTTATCTATGATATGATTTTGAATTAAAGTGACAGGCTAAATCATTGTGTTTGAGATGCTCACACCTGTCTACTCCCCATATGTATACTGCTGCGAGATTTGGCCAAAATTTCAGTAACACAAGAGGGTTTTATGGGCTGGTTGGGAATCTCTGAGATACAGATTGAAACTGCATCACTGCAGGTGCATCGTCCATTAGGAGTATAAGCTATATATAAACTAGTGCAGTATACAGTCCTTGTTTACCTGTGCTTTCTTTTGGTCAGTACTTCCTATTTGCTATTTGAATGCAGTAGCTGATTACACATTATGTTACATGCAGTTTTATACATTAATGCATGATAAAGAGTCATGTGGAAATTAGAAATTTTTGTTTTATGAATGATGTAATTTGTTATAAAGATTGCATATTGGTGCATGACCGTAGACCTTTGAATTAATTCATTGCGCATAATTCACCTCACTGTACCACATACACACTGCACATTTTTCACCTCTCTGTATCAAATACACACTGCACATTATTCGTCTCTGTATCACACACTCACTGCACATTATTCACCTCAATATACCACAGACACACTGCACATTACTTACCACTCTATAACACACACTGCACACATTGTTTATTTTTATTCCCTAATAACTATGGATAAAACCACCTATTAGGCCTTCCACTCTATGCACACTCAATTCCGCATTTAAACACTTGCTTTATTTATCAATGTAAAATGATCATTTTTAGAATATCTAGAACTTTTATTCTTTCAAAATTAGAATTTTTTAAATTTTATTTAATTTATGTTATAAGAGTGCACATCTGTGCATGAACCTCAAACAGATATGAATTGATTAGTTGTTTGTTTTTCAACATATACATATAGATTCACTATATATTATTCACTTTTCTGGACCATACGCTCACTGCACATCATTCACCTCTCTGTGCCACATACACGCACTGCACATTATTCACCTCTCTGTACCACACACTCACTGCACAACATTCACCTCTCTGTATTACACACTTTCTGTATATTATTCACCTAAGTGTACCACACACTGCATATTATTCACCTAAGTGTACCATACTCACTGCAGATTATTCACCTCTCTGTACCACACACTCACTGCACATTATTCACCTCTCTGTACCACACATTAACTGAACATTATTAACCTCTCTGTACCACACATTAACTGCACATTATTCACCTCTCTGTACCACACATTCACTGCACATTATTAACCTCTCTGTACCACACATTAACTGCACATTATTCACCTCTCTGTACCACACACTGCACACAATGTTAGTTCCCCATTTCTCTCTAATAACTATGGATTAACCCATTTTTCTGCGTCTTGCTCTCTGCACACTCTTAGTCCTTCAGTGTTCACCCCACGGCTAGACTCTGGGATGTGGTGAGCAGGGCAGGCCATCTGTACTCGAGGGCCTCGATAGCTGGGGGGGTGTGTGGGGGGGGAGTAGTGGTACCATGGGCTTGTCATGTGATTAAAGCTTATTTGTGGACTGATGTGCCATTACCAGTGTTAATGACAATTAAGAAGCTTGGGCACCGTGGTGGGGGGAGGGGTATGGACATAAGTGTGGGGGGAGGCTCTTTCCAAGCTTAGCACATCACACAAGAAGAGGGATTAATTCTTCATGGATTAGAAAGAATTAATTTTGTGCTTACACGTTTCGGGTTAGGATTACAGCTCTATCTGTGCTCTGCGTGCTTAGGGGAGTGTGTGTGTACGTGTGGAGGAGGAGTGCAGCTGGGACTTTGGTGAGAGCGATAGGGTGTTGAAAGGCTCAAGGAAACAAGGGAGCGGGTGGAGGAGTGGGAAAGGAGGGACGGCCTGAGGACAGCTGTATGGGAAATGAGGGACAGAGCAACAAGAGAGGTGTAAGCAGACTGTTAGGCAATTAATCACAGAGGAATACAGAATGTTAGGGAGGAAGAATGGTGATGAGCAAAACTGTGATGAAAGTTAGAAAAAAAAGGCAAGTAAGCATTAACTGGAAAAAGCGAGGGAGTGGGCTGCATGAAAGAGAGAGGTGAATGTGAAAAGCACAGCAAGGGCACTGGGGGCCAAGCGGGGCGAAGGAGGAAGAGAAGGGAGAGGGAGGCACTGGAGAGCGATGTAGAGTGGAGCTGTTTCAGTCCTGCCCATGTCGGACAGGCTGAGTGTCACCCTGCCAGTGATGCGAGATGTCAGCGTGTCTGGCGGTGGCCTGCCCTCTCCCTGCTCCAGCGTGTCCGGCGGTGGCCTGCCCTCTCCCTGCTCCAGCGTGTCTGCCGGTGGCCTGCCCTCTCCCTGCTCCAGCGTGTCTGCAGGCAGCCTGCCCTCTCTCTGCTCCAAGCCCACCCAGATCAAATCTCACTTTCCCTCTCTCTCTCTACCTTCCCCTGGGCCTCTCACCAGCATATGGAGTGATGATTGGAATTGAATTGTTCAAACACCCCTTCAGTCTCCGTCTCTCTCTCACTCCTCTTACTCGTTGTTCTCGGCATCCTGCTCCAGGGTTTGCATGTGCACTCACACACACACAGTCACACACACACACTCACACACACACACTGCTTGACTGTGTGTGTCAAGCAGCTCATAGCTAAAACAGAGCCCTGACTCCACCTACCAACGAAGATCTCAGCACAGAAGTCCAACTCCCTGCATCCTCTGGTTGGACTAGTTATGCGAGTATTATAATACAGTAAACTTACAGGAATATTGGTGTAAAATGCAATGCTCAACCAACATATCAGAATAAAATGCAGTGTGGGACTATTATTGTGCCGTTTGTTAAGACTTTAAAACCCAGTAATGAGGGGCCCCAGATCCCAAAGCCTGGTTCTGGAGAAGTCAGCGTGGGGGGGGGGGGGGTTGTTTCTGCACGGTTAGATCAGATGCATCTTGACCCTCATTTGGAGGCAGGTGATGCCCTGGGGGAGATTTCCCTGTGCTGAGACTAAAGCACATAATGACGATGTTTTCTTCTCTTAATCCTTCCCTCTCCCTCTTCCACCATCCTCAGCACTTGTCGTCACCCCTGGACTGAGCATCTTTGCGCGCAGCGTTATCTCAGCGATGATGATAATGATGATAGGGACAATGAGAGTGGGCTGTAGGAGGCCTGTCTAACCTCCTTGGGTCCCCCCCCAGGGACTCAGCCCTTTCTCTGGGGGCAAGGGGTCACAGTGAATCAGCTCGCTCTCTCAAGACAGGCAGCACGTGTCTGTGAAGAGTCAGGCCAGCAAGCAGTGCAGCTCCGTCACGCCTTCCCAATTGACTCAGCTCGGCTATATGGATGTGAGAGTTTGTCAGAGCTCATTGATAATAAGTGAGTCCTCAATGCGGAATTACAGCCAGGTATCGATCACTTACTTCAGCTTGAGACAGGGGCCTTTCATTCAGAAGATTATTTTTTTCCTGGGAAGCTGTAGAGTGATGCTGCTGCAGTAGTAGCGTAATATAAAATAGCGTTTTCTGGTTGCCAAAATAATTGCCAAAATATCTGATTAAACACTGGGTACATAGAATATCGGAAGCAGGAAATTCCATGTAGGTGTGGAGTTAATTACGCCAACATCCAGGGCTTTGGGTCAATGTATAAAAATTCTGAGGAGGCCCATTTTTCCTGCTGTAGCTAAAAGAAGGTGCCTGAGTTACTCTCAACGAGAGGTTTTTGTTGGGGACGTGTTTGGCAACAGCTCCAGTGGCAATGACCGTTCAACCTTCTGATTTTTAACGATGGATGCCGGCCAAGGTGATGGTGGCTAGGAAGTCTAGTAGCAACTATGGGCAACTGTGGACAAAAGTGCGTGCAACCATTGATCAAGAACTTCACAGTGGGAGGATTACTGCGTGTTTCGGTGCATCAGTGTCATATTGGACCTAATAAACCAGGGATATTCAAATCGCAGTCCTCCAGGTCCGAGCACTGCTGATTTTCCAGCCTTCCTTTTCCTGTCCGCCAGGTAACCTCTGTGGCTAATCAGAATCAGCAATTATTAAACTATCTACCTACAGTAGGAGAACTGAAAACAAAGCCTGGATTTGGAATTGAGGGCCAGACTTGAAATGCCCTATAATAAACTGTTCTGGTGGCTTGAGGTCACCTAGTGCCTTATTAAGAGACTTTATGTTGGTTTCTACTATTTTGTCAGTTAGTTCTTAATTCAACAGATTAGTGTTTTTTATTTCAAATGTTATAATTCTATTATAGTCCCCGGGCCAGTAGTGTCACGATGATAAATACAATGTCTTATGTAGTATTTTTACATTTATATTTTAGCTACATATAGTAATAGTCCTGCAGTGAAAGTCGTACAAATACTGATAGATGTTGGTGAGGGAGGAAGAGGAGAGACGTGTGTGTCAGCGGCACAGTGGGACTTGTGGGGGGATCCAGGCTGTTCAAGGGAGCGCAGACTCCAGCAAGTAAGAAGTGCTGAAATTGGTGTCTGCCTAAACATATGTCATCACCCCCAACCTCCGCGGGCCGCTCTGCCTCGTCTGGCTGAGACTCACCCTGCAGATCTTCTTAAGATAAAGGCCAAAGCAGCAAATCTGCTCATTTTAACATGCTCCGTGACTCACAAATGCTCACTATTACACTGTCGGTCACACAGAGAAACACACGCACATGTGCACGTGCACACACACACAAACACACTCTCAGTTTACTACTGACTCTCGGTCCACTGCAGTTAATAAATTTCCTAATAAATTTCCAAAAAGTTGAGATAAAATATGTTCTGGCACTTTCAGCTTCTTAATAAAGCAAAAGCAAGTTAAAAAATGGTGTCTTTTGTTTTGTCTCTAATAGCGTGTAATATCTGTATTGCAGAACTTAGTCTTTTTACAATTTTTACAGTTTCATTAGAAAGTACCCACACAGTGAAACCAAAATCTATACACAGTCAGGCATGTCCACTTATTAATACTCTCCCACGCCCACTGGAGTGCATAAATCTGGCATGCACAGGTTGTCCCAGTACGATCAAATTGTTTGTGCTGTATTTTATGCACCACACAAACACACCCAAAATACGTGTAAACATACACATTAAAAAGCCTCTAACGCTGCATTAGCACTTGTGGTGTGGTGTTCATATTGCTATTCACTCTGCTGTGAAACTAGAGTCCCAAACGTAACACCTCCCCATATTTTTTTTCCTCTGTATTTTCCAGACCCAGGTCCACCTGCAGGAATCAAGGCTGTCCCATCCTCTGCCTCCAGTGTTGTGGTGTCCTGGCTGCCCCCTCTGAAGCCTAATGGTATCATCCGCAAGTACACCATCTACTGCTCCAGCCCTGGGTCTGGGCAACCTGTAAGTGATGCAAAAAGGGGGATAAGGAGAGCATAGTTTTGAATTGGGGAGATACAGGACAGTAAATGAGAGATTTAAAGATCTTGGGATTAGAATAAATAGTTTGAATGTGTGTATTTATATGTATTAGGCAGTAGCTTTAAATGCATGTTTGTATATGTGTGTGTGCGTGCGTGCGTGTGAGTGTGTGTGTGCGTGTGTGTATGTGTGTGTGAAGGGGCCCCTCAGTTTTTATTTGATGTATCTGAATGCATATGGCTTCAATTAAATATATGGTAGAAACCGCAAGCAAATGTTGCATGTGAATCTCTGTGTTTAAATGATGGAGTCTCCCAGTGCGCATCTGCGTCCATGTTTCTGTGTGTGTGTGTGTGTGTGTGAGCAAGTGAGTTAACATACCAGCTTGAGTGTATCTGTGTGTGCTGTCAGCTTGTTTCCTGCCCTCCCTGATGAACAGATGAGGTTGTCCTGGCAACGTGATGAGACACAGATATGCAAATGCGGGCGAGAGAGAGAGAGAGAGCAGGCTCACAAGCACACACTGCAGCAGCAGCGGCTCATTTTCACACACACACATTTTCGCACACGCACTCGCACACACAGCGGCTGGAGTGCACATTTGCTGCCTCCCAAAAAAGCGTAGTCGCGTATGTTGACCAAATGACACGCTATTAGGATTGAATTTGCCCCAGCTCAAGTGCACGCACGCACACGCACGCACACGCAGACATGCATACACGTCTGTTGATGAAACCATGACCATACACAATAATACTCGCTCGGCTGCACACACAAACATGGCTATCTGCCATTGCATCAGGACGATGAATTAAAATACGAGCGGCTCACAGGTACACACGATTCTATTAATAAAAGATGTATGTTCACTCTGAATTAATGTTCCAGTGTCTACATACACTCGTTTCCTCTCTCCTCCTCTCCTTCCCTCATTCACAAATCACTTGCTCTCTTCATGGCTGGTGCAGCCTCCAAGCAGAGGGATGATTACCATGTAAATGAGAGCAAGGAGAAGGGAGGGTGTGAGAGGAGGGTGGGGGGGTCCGACTCACAGAGGGGGGGTGCTTTTGTTCCTCTTTTCATTATCTCCCTCTATCGCTCCCCGGATCACCACTATCTCTGCGCCGGAGGAATATTTTAATATCCGTTACACCACCACCACCCACCCTGCCCCCCCAGCCTTCACCAATCCCCCAGACCTCCTCCCCCACCACCCCCCCCGTGTTCTCAGGCACCAAGTGAGTAGTATGATACAGGCATAGGATGCAGAGCAGTGGCAGAAGCTGAATACAGCAAAGGTGTTGGGAAGAGAAGCTGATTGGGCAGGACGCAGGCAAACCGGGCCGATAAGGCAAGATCGGGGAGGGAGCACAGCCACTGGCCAGGTCCCTCCCCAGTGACCCTGCAGAAGAGCAGCACAGTCCCTGCCTGTGTGACACAGGGTAACCTGCAGTGGTGCCTCCCGTTTGGGTTTCCGGGCCGTTCCGCTAGTTCGCCAGTGTCTGTCTACATATGTGAACTTCACACTCCCACGTCCATGAGTCACGGCGAGTAAAGTCTGCGTGCGTGACTTCCCATGTCGCCGTGTACTCACACACGTGCGTCCGTGTGTCTGGGCGTCTGGCATGGTTTGTGGTTGCACCAGGTCTGTGCGTGTGTGTCCCTGCGAGTGTGCACGTGTGTATGAGAGATAGCTCCTCGTGCTGTCGCGTGACGGCGAGCGCTGCGCCCACGAGCATGGCTCTATGACCCAAGTGAAGAAAGCAGCACAGATGAGCAGTGGTATGACAAGGCCAGCGGCCCAAGGCACCTCAGATGTTGAGGGGGGTGAGTGGCGGGGGGGGGAGGGGGTAGACATGGCAGTAGAGAGGCGGATCTCCAGTAATTGAAGAAAGGAGAGTCAACAGGATGACCTGGGGCAGCGGGGATGGCGTGACGAGGATGCGTTTGGACAGCAGGCGTGCGGCAGGGTTAAAGAGGCTGCAATCATGGAGGAGGCCTGTGCAGAGCCCTTCCACCCCCCACCCCACCCCCATGCCTGCCTGACCGCTGGCCCTCCTCAGCTGATTCCCACGTTAGAGATGCGCGACGGCTCATTGGGGAGCACTGTTGCCTCACACCTGCAGCGCTGGGGGATTCACGTCCCACTCCCAGTCCGCCTGTGTGAAGCTCGCGTGTTCCCCCCTGCGCTGCACGGGTTACCTCCCACAGCACAGAGACATGCAGTTAGATGTCACTGTTTTGCCCGCAGTGTGTGATTGTGATTGGGTGTGTGTGCCCTGCAGTGAAGTAGAACTCCACTGCGGGATTCCCCCTGCAGTGTAACGCGGGGAAATGCATGGAGCCAGAGAGTTTTTCCTGCTTCCTCTAAGCATTAAAATCTCCTGGTTGCTCCCCTGTTGCCCTTTTCAGATGCGCATCCTTCACACCTGATCATTGGTCATCTTACAATCCTAATCATGATTTGCATCACCAGACTGACTCCAGGCCTGTGATGAACTAACGGCATAATGACCCACCACTGATTTTTCCTGCCGAAATGATCTTCCCTTTTGTCTATTGCTCTTATATGGGGTAGAATACGCAAGTTTGACCAATGGTAGAAAACTATGACTGGCCAATGAATGATGTCGTCACGGGATGCCGAGTAACTTTATAGGGGCTCCTGACCCACAGGCACCCAGCGAGTATGAAGCCAACCCAGAGCTGCTGTTCTACCGCATCACACACCTGACCCGCGGGCAGCAGTACCTCATATGGGCCGCCGCCGTCACCACCGCCGGTCGGGGCAACATCAGCGAGAAGGTCACCGTGGAGCCTGCTGGGAAGGGTGAGTCCTCCGGAGAGGCGGTGCTGGGGGGTCGGCGGGACCGTGGGTTCTGGACTCCCCGCTTGATATTTTATTGTATCCTTGCTTTCTTTTTCTTCACTGTCCTTTTCTGGTTGTTCCCCCACCTGTCTAACCCTCCCTCCCCTCACTGCATCTCTCCTTCTACCTTCTCTCTTTCACTCTCTCTCTCTCTCTCTCTCCCACTTTTTATTTCAGGTCCACCCAGCATTGAATAACAGCCAGCTCTCTTATAGGAAATACTGTTGTTAATTATGTGCTGAGGACCAAGGGCCACTAAATTAACTGGCCTGGAAGAAAGGGGGGGACAGCAAAGGGGAGCGATGACTTATCCAGAGAGGGGGAGCAGATGAAAAGGGTTTAATTGATAGCTAGTGGATTATACCAAAGGGGAAAAGAGGGGGAAAGCACAAAAAGAGAAAAAGAGGATGGAAGTCCTGTATATCTGATTCCCCCGACTCCCTGCGTCTCCCAGCTAATAATAAGCTGTAAAGGAGTCTCTTCTCTGGGCTGCCCCACTCAATACGTTATTCAGCCAGCAGAAGAGGGCAGGCATTAAGATGTCAAGTGTGTTTGTGTGTGCCAGACGGAGACAGATAGTGAATGGGAGGGCAGCATTATTGTGTGTGTGTCTTCGTGTGTTTCTGCTTCTGTGTTCGACTCGCGGTCGCAGAAAAGGCTTCATTAGAATAACAATATTAGCTCTGTTCCCAGAGCCATTAGCTAACATTGGTCGCCCGTTCATCACCACCTGTTTCCGCTGTTATTCTGCGTTAGGGCCTGTTTTGAAGTGCAGGGAGGGGGTGGTTCCAAATTCTGTCACTTATCTTTTTGGGCAGGAAGTGGTTTCGATAGCACCAGCCCATTCGCTTAGCAGTGAGCTGGGATGCTGACGCCCGTAGAAATTTCCAGATGAAGTCGTGGTAGGAGCCTGCAGATTCAGCCGGCTGCTTTAATGACAGAGTCCTTTCCCTGTCTTTCTGTGCGCAGCGCCGGCCAAGATCCTGTCCTTTGGGGGCACGGTGACCACGCCTTGGATGAAGGAGGTACGTCTGCCTTGCAGCTCTGTGGGCGAGCCCAGCCCCACCATCAAGTGGACTAAGGACAGGTAGGGGGATCCCCAGCCGTTACATAGCTGCACAATTCAACAAGTACCTTGTTCAGTGACAACATAAAGACTGACCATATCTTGAAGATAATGATTGTGACATTGCTGAAAAATATCCAGCAAAGTCATCTGCAGTTAATCTGCTTGCAGGCCCAGAAACCTGTCAAAGGATTTAATCTTTTTCTCTCCGTCTCAGATCTGTTCCATGATTTCACACACAGTATCTGTTATAAACGCCCCATGGCGGAAAAGCTGGTTTTTGCTGTGTCTGACTCATTGCGCTCTCTCTCTCCCTCCCTCCCCCATCTCGCTTTGACATTTTGCGGGGTCCTTCTGACACTTTGTTGTTTTTCTCCCCTCCCTTCACCGTCCACGTGCTCGGTCCCAGCGAGGACTCCGCAATCCCAGTGACGCTGGACGGCCACCGCCTCATCCTGGCCAATGGCACGCTGGTGCTGCGCTCGGTGAAGGCTGAGGATTCTGGATACTACACCTGCACGGCCACCAACACCCTCGGGTTCGACACCATCATCATCAACCTACTTGTACAAGGTAACAAAAGTGAGGCTCGATTCTGAGTATCTGGACTCTACCTCTTTATGGATGTGCTTTAACATTCTGCCCATTTTAGTCTCAGTCTTAATCTCAAAATGCATATGTCACACTTCCCTATAAATAATCCCAGCTGGGTTGTAAATACATCTCAGGAGTTGTTTCTCAAAAGTATCTCGTTTGGGCTCATTGCATGTGAATATCTTCTCAGTGTTTTATCTTTCTTGTCTCTTTATTCTGTCAGCAGTTACGCCCTTGACAGTTCTATGAGGATGTGATCCGATTTAGTGATACTTTGTCTGCCCCCCTTTTCCACAATGCAGTGCCCCCTGACCAGCCCCGCCTGACTGTGTCCACGACCTCCACCTCCTCCATCACCTTAGCCTGGGTCCCAGGAGACAACGGGGGCAGCTCCATTCGAGGTACCCCCCCCTCATCTCACGCAGGGCCGAGGCTCGCCCAATGAGAGCTGCGTCACGGTTCTGCCCGCTTTTTACTTGCACGTGTGCTGACCCACCGGCCAGCGTGTCTGTCGGCAAGCTGGCGCGTCCGTCTGGCCGTCCGTCTGCGTGCCTCGGTGCCGCCCTGGCCGCGATGACCCTTGCCAGCACACTCCGCCATGCTTCAGTGTATCTGTGCTCTTTTGGTCACACCCTGTCCTTAACGAGCCCGTCTGCCCGTCACATATCTCCTCTACTTATTTATGGGTCTGTCCATCACGGTTTTTAAAACAGGTTTGCCTGCCAGCGCTCGTTCCATTTTTATCGTCAGAATGTTTTCAGCCACAGCTGCCCAGCTTTGTGGCTCAGCCCATATCCATGGCTCCGCCCCCCCCGGATAAAGCTGATATTAGTATTATGAAGCCATACTAAATGATCATTAGGTGAATTCATGGTGCAGGCGAAAAGGACTGACTGTGACTGGATGGTTTTTTTTTTCTTTTTTTTTTATAAAGTGTCTATTTTACTGTCAGTATCTCCTGGAAGCCAAGTTAAATAGCAGCTGATAGTGACAGGCTGCATTGTTCCATGTTCGTATTTGCATATGTGTCCAGTCAGCCTATTCTAAATCTCGCTGTGGAGGCAGCAAGCAGTGGACCATTCTCCCTGCCAGACGGCTCCATGTAGTCGCAGGACGGCCGACGCACGACGGCGTCCATGGTGCTCCGGCGCCCCCTTGTAATTGAAGGGAGTATAGCTTTCCATTACGGTTCTGAGTGCTTGATTTTTCACTGTTTCCAAGAATAATGCTCAGTGCGGTTTTGTTCAGTTGTATTGACAAAGTACCATAAATATATACTGAGCAACACAATCTGGTCCAGTCAGCGTATGGAACACGTTTCAGAATCAGAGATGCTTGTTCCTTCATTTTATTGAGGAAGGCTAGCACCCCCGCCCCCAGCCACACCCCAGGAGGAGCTCCGCCTGCTCCTTTGTTACTTTGTTACCTTTCTCATGCAGTCTACCTATAATTATATGAGGATAATGTCTCACCGCTGCCAGGCATCAGCCTTAATGAACCCATCTGGCCTGTAGGGGGCACTAGGCGGCTGAGGATCCCTCCCCCCATGGCGGCATAATGCCAGTTATCATCAGGAGCGTGAGCTCAGTCTGCCTTCAGAGCCAAACTGGCCTTAACTGGCTGACCTACCGACCTGTGTATTAGCCAGCTTTCAGGTGTCTCCTGGATAAACGAAAACACTGGAAACAGTCTGTCTTTGCTGAGCCTCTCCCACCCCCCACCCCCCAGGCTTCGTGCTGCAGTATTCGGTGGACAACACGGAGGAGTGGAGGGATGTCTTCATTAGCTCCAGCGAGCGCTCCTTCAAGCTGGACAACCTGCGCTGTGGCACCTGGTACAAGGTCAAGCTGGCGGCGAAGAACAGCGTGGGCGCCGGGCGCATCAGCGAGATCATCGAGGCCAAGACCCACGGCCGCGGTGAGGGCAGGCCCGCCGGTCGGCATGGCGACGCTGGTGCTCAGCGACCCTGTGACTGGCGAGCGAATGCACAACGTGTGATGTGGACGTAACGGAGACACCAGTCAACGCTGTGATAAAAACTCTGACTCACACAGACGCTATACGGAAATAAATTGATAGACACTCCTATTTTTACAGACTCAGATACGGCACAGACATAGATTCAGATAAACTCTGAGTCATACAGACCCAGTGATGGCATGGTATTGTTGACTTGGGTGTAATTTGCTCATTGTCAGCAAATATAGGCTCTTAGTAACTAGTGTCTCTGCTGTCTGGCTGCGAAGCTGACATATTTTGATAGAGGTTGACTGGCAGGTGCAGACAGCTAAATAAACTGCCCCCACCCCTCCCCCACAGAGCCCCAGTTCAACAAGGACCAGCCACTCTTCACCCACATCAACTCCACGCACGCGCGCCTCAACCTGCAGGGCTGGACCAGTGGCGGCTGCCCCATCACGGCCGTCCTGCTGGAGTTCCGGCCCAAGGGGACCTGGGCGTGGCAGAACCTGCGCACCAACGCCTCTGCCGACGTCTTCCTGGCCGAGCTGCGCGAGGCCACCTGGTACGAGCTGAAGATGAAGGCCTGCAACAGCGCTGGCTGTGGTAACCAGAGCTCCCAGTTCGCCACGCTGGACTACGACGGAAGTGAGTGCCGGACAAATATGGACACAGAGCGGACAGGGACACGGAGATGGATGTTGTTTGTTTCTGATTCTGCCAACGTAAAAATTGGGTTTCTTATATATAAATCTTTAGTAGATATAGTAGTGAATAAATTCACTTATGGATCAATGCTGAAGACCATCATAATAATTTCACAAACCTAATCGCGAGACCAGTGCTTTCGAAAATATTCGCAGAGAATCAAAAACCACATCTGCCTGTTTGTCTCTCCATTCCTCTCACTGTTTTGCATCCACCTTAGCACATTTGTGCAGTTGCACTCCCAGGTGACACTCTGACTTTAAACCTCAGTGAACCAGTAAATAAAGACACGCATTTCATTTTCTCTGAATGGATGCTTTTTGAACTTTTTGCGAATGTCAGTTTTTCTGTTTTTTTTTTTTGAGTGTGACACCTTTTATTTCCTGTGCAGGTACAATCCCGCCCATCAAGTCGGCGCGTGGGGAGGGGGACGACGTGAAGAAGCTGTTTACCATCGCCTGCCCCGTCATCCTGGTGACCCTGGGACTGGCCCTGCTCTTCATCATCCGCAAGAAACGCAAGGAGAAGAGGCTGAAGAGACTGAGGGGTGAACGTCAGCACAGACAAGTCTGGGGTGGGGGGGGGGGATGCAAAGGGAGCTGAGTAATGGAGACGGGGGTCTAAAATAATGCACTTTAGGAAGGGAGAAGACAGGGAAGCCAAAGTAGGGAAGCCAGTGAGGTGATCACACTGACTTCATGTTTCCTTATTCCCACAGACGCCAAAAGCCTGGCTGAAATGCTCATCAGGTAAGACCTCTGGTTTGGGAGACCAGATATCATGATCTTACAGTACAGTTGATGTGTGATTAATAACAGAGCCACAGGATAAATGCATAGTAATGTATTTTTGTGCCCAGGGGCATTGCAGGGGCATGGATACCCCTGGCAGATGAATTTGGGGGGGGTGGCAAGGTGACGTTTTGTCAGGGGGTCCAGAATTTCTAGCTACAACCCTGCCATCTCCTTGGTCATCTCCATCTCGCTCTGTAATGGCTGTATGCTTGAAGCATTTCTTTGTGTGCTTCATTCTGTTTCGAAGCCCAGTAGTGAAGAAGTGGCTCCTCCATGCAGAGTCAATGTGCCTTGCCGTAGCAGTACTGTCCCCTAGGCCCGTGCGGCTCCTCCATGCAGAGCCATCGCCCGCTTAGCTGCGGCAGTGGAAATACTCTGTCTTTTCTTTGCGTCCCGGAGCAGTAAGAACAATCGCAGCTTTGACACGCCGGTGAAGGGGCCACCGCAGGGACCTCGGCTGCACATCGACATCCCCCGCGTCCAGCTGCTGATCGAGGACAAGGAGGGCATCAAGCAGCTCGGTCAGTGGGCGGGGGGGTGACGCTGAAGGTGACCGGGAGGGTAGGGGCTGGAGCAGGCGGGGACTCGGCTAGAAATGGGTCACAGTGGCGTTTCCTCTGATTTTGTGCTTTGATGAGGTGACTGTGAAGTAGCTGTCAGTGAAAGGTACTGTGTTGGGAATATAGGAAATATATTGGGAATATCCTGGCTGCCTTTATTGTCAGCTGCCTTTATTAATGTAGTAAATATTACATTCATCACTGGCCATGATGATGAGTGTTGCCAATATTGGCTGATTATTGTGCATGTTTTCCATGATACGGTTTGTGACATGGTGAGGTCACCTCAAACATAACACTTATTGGCTGCCTACCTGCAAAGATCTGTCTGCAGAGTCAACATGTAGGGCAAGCTGACCAATCAGAGCACACTGGGCTCATCGGGGGTGGGGCTTAAGGCTCTAGCAGAGCCTTGACAATTATAGACAGTGTGAATAAAGATGTACAATATGAGAAAATAATATTTTCTTGGAATATTGAAGCATGTAAACTTATTCTTGTAGATCCCAGAAATAACATTATGTCCGGGAAAATGAGTTTAATAGGGCCCCTTTAATCTTCGGCAGGTGAGGACAAAGCTACTATTCCAGTGACGGACACAGAGTTCAGCCAATCAGTGAACCCTCAGAGCTTCTGCACAGGCGTGTCCGTGCACCACCCTGCCCTCATCCAGAACACCGGTCCTTTGATTGACATGTCCGACATCCGACCCGGAACCAGTAAGTGCCATAAACAGGAACAAACTGAAATCAACTTGAAATGGAGAGTTAGGTAAGTGGAAATGACGGGAGTTGTTTTATTTATTGCCAATATGTTGCTCTCTCCTTGTCTCCCTCTCTAAGACCCTGTATCCAGAAAGAGCGTGAAGTCAGCTCACAGCACACGGAACCGCTATTCCAGCCAATGGACCCTGACCAAGTGCCAGGCATCTACGCCAGCCCGTACCCTCACCTCTGACTGGCGCACGGTGGGCTCCCAGCACGGTATCACTGTGACAGAGAGCGACAGCTACAGCGCCAGCCTCTCCCAGGACACCGGTGGGGCCCGACCCGACTCTGAAGCACTGGCCCAGGCTCACCTGCCCTGACATGGGCTTGCACACAGATCTTTCCTCAAGCTCCCCTACACACTCATTGACACAACAGTGTGTCTTACTTTTACATTTACATGATTCTCCAATGTGACGTGAAAGTAAGGAGTTAACTAGGCACAAGTGTAGCTAGGATGACCTTCCAATGAACGCCCAGGTACAAGTGTAAGCAGTATGGGAGCAGGATCTACACAACAACTTCTAACAATGCAAGGACTTAATAAGACTATTCAAGGACCAAAAGTGCAACATTAGTAGAGGAGTTCATGGAACAGAATGGTCTGGAGGGATTTCTTGAAGGTGGAGAGGGAGTCTGATGACTAGATGTGCTTCAGCTGCTCATTCCTCCGCCGGGGGTCCACACAGGAGAAGAGATCCCACAAGAATGCATGCTTATTTTCAAAGGATGTTTGGCTTGGGTTTATAGCGTGCATATTGGCGTACATGCACACATGGTGAATTGCCTGCTCTGAAAGCAGAAACAGACCCTTCTAAGGAACTGGCATGAATATATGTATATAATGCTTGATGCCACCAGTCCATTGCACCTTAAACGCAACCTCATATGACATGCAGTAGGCTAGCAAAGTATAGAAAACACACTGCATTGAAACTTATGGTAATCTGCTCAGCATCTGTTGTTGGCCTGGTGCATTAAAATCAGTAGAAGATTATCAATAGCCAGCTGCGATGTAAACGAGCTCCGTGATCCCCTGGCACGGCCCTCATGGTTCTTCGTTTCTCTTCAGACAAAGGCCGCAACAGCATGGTGTCAACGGAGAGCGCCTCGTCCACCTACGAAGAGCTGGCCCGGGCCTACGAGCACGCCAAGCTGGAGGAGCACCTGCAGCACGCGAAATTCGAGATCACCGAGTGCTTCATCTCCGACAGCTCCTCCGACCAGATGACCACCGGCACCAACGATAACGCCGACAGCATGACCTCCATGAGTACGCCTTCCGAGCCGGGTATCTGCCGCTTCACCGCCTCCCCGCCCAAGCCGCAGGACTATGACCGTGGCAAGAATGTGGCTGTGCCCATCCCCCACCGCGCCAACAAGAGTAAGTGTGCCTGCATTGCCCCATACTTATAGGGACCACATACCCCCATTGAGTTCAATTTTCTTGAGACACTGTCTCAATTTTTGCTCTGAAATCAGGGCCCTAGTAATTCTCAAACATGGCAACTGATTTTATTGAGGTGATGTCCTTGTAAACCAGGGTCCCATCTGCATCACTCATTAGCTTAAAGACACCTTAATTGCTACGCCTGCATGGCTCTAGTGAAGTGTTTGACTGTATAATTGGGGGGAATATTGTTGCTGCTTTGGATAAAAGTATCATGTAAGGAATAAGCGCCAGCACTAACACTGACATTATCGACAATAATTTCCCAGTGTTGATTACGCTGTGCTTCTTGTATGGTGTTACCTTAGCAGTGAGCTATACTGTGGTAACAGGTTATGGCATCTGACCTGGCCATTGCTCCACATGGCTAAAGCTGTTAGCATGCTCAGAAGCTTAGCAGACATCACTGCACGGTACCTTAAATGCTAAGCCTTACAACGTCCTTGGCTGCCCTTGTGCCATTCGTAAACTTCTCCGACTCTCCTTTGTCTGGTAGGTGACTACTGTAACCTCCCTCTCTACATGAAGACGGATCCCTTTTTTCGCAAGCAGGCAGAGCTTCACGATCCGTGCCCCGTGGTGCCCCCCCGCGAGGCCTCTATCCGCAGCCTGGCCGCCCGCGCCTACCACACGCAGGCCCGGCACATGACTTTGGACCCAGGCAAGCAGCAGGCGCTCACGCTGGGCCACGGCGGGCTGGGAGGGTTGAGCGGAGCCGGGGCCAGCGGAGGATTAGGGGGTTCGGGCACTGCCACGCTGCCCCAGCGGACTCTGACCATGCCTGGCCCCTCGGCCCAGAGTACCACCTCCTCCACTGCTGCCATGGCGGCCAGCGCTGGCTCTGGCAGTAATCCCACTTCTGCCACCAAAATGGCTGGCTCCAGAGACTCCTTGCTGGAGAGCAGCTCATCTGGACTGGGCAGACTGCAGAAGCAAGGAGCTGGGGCCTACTCCAAGTCTTACACCCTGGTGTAGGCCTCTGGAGCTGAGAAGCTGGGGAGGGGGGGAGGGGGGGCATGTGAACACTGGGGGCCTGAGCTATGGCTGGACGTAGACTGTTGGTGTCAATAGAGACGAGGAGCACAGGGGCAGGCAGAGATCTGACTCCGACACAGCAGTGGCATCTATACAGCACAGGCACTCGTTTGTTTGTCTCTTGCTTTCTTTCTCTTTTCTTCATCCCTCTTTCCCAGAACCATGCCAAACCTAACATCATTATTATCACCGGGATTAATCTCCGCTCCTCGAATCCTCCTATAATCGTATTGACTTCATATCTTTCGTTTTATCTCTCTCCCCCGTTGGCGGAGGGCGCTACGACGTTTATGCGCGAGAGGCTTTCTGCATATGCTAGTCCCAAAGTAAGCGAAAATTAAGCATATAAGAGCTGTATAGTTATCACCTATACCTTTCTAGGTGTTTTAAAATGTCAGAAATGCCACCCCCCCCTTGACATCTGTAACTGTTCGGATAACATGGTGCATCGGTGCGGAAAGTACTTCAGCATAAAGCTCACCAGTGTCTTTCCCAGCTGCCTCCAGTTCACCCAGCTCCCCTCTCCCCTGGCCACACGTATTTTAGAAAGAATTCCAAGCTTGTGGCCTCAGCCGTCTGTTTGAGTCTGTGAGATTTCCTATTCCATGCAATTTACAGGAAAAAAAATACAGTATCGAAGTTTTTTTTTTTTTTTAACAAACATAGAAAGATTTCAAAAGTACGAAGTTATCTTTGAGGTGGACGAATCAGAACTGTTTCTCTGAAGGTTTTTTTCTTTTTTAAAAAATATAAACTCATGTGCACTAAAAGAGGGTGAATGGAACCTAAGAGCTGTTGCAAGCCTACATGTGTGTGCGTGTGTGTGTGTGTGTATATGTGTAAATATATATGTATACATGTGATCAACACACGCTGAAGGTCCCTTTCACATCAGTTTCCATATTTCCTGGCAGAATTCCACATCAGGAGTCATGCATCAACTTTGTCTCCTACCCCCCCCCCCCCCCCCCCCCCCCCCCCCCCACGAGAATCTGCAGAACCAGGTTTCCGTGGAGATTAACAATCGTCCATCACGTGACTTTCTCACACGCTATCGCCTCATCCTCATTGTGTCCTCGTGCCAGTGACTGTGCGTGTCGTCATCACGGGGGGTTGCGGGTCCTTCATCTCTGCTTGGTGTTACCCCTCCCTCCCCTGAATCTTTCTGCCCAGAGATCACCCCCCCCCCCCATGCGTGCTGCCCTCTGGAGTCTCACTGTGACAGGCTTGCAGCCTCTCCCCAACAGATGGACTGACAGAGAGGTGCTATGGACACAGAGTGAACGAGGATAGAGATCCGCTGCAGCAGAGTGGCTTTTAATTTCCGTCGTTGTTTACTTCCGTGACATTTAACTCCACTGTTCATCTTTTCTTGTCCGAGCCTTTTGCTTACTCGCCTAAAGGAAAGTATTTAAATTGTTCTGCTTTTCCTGAGAGGCAGGGCAGTGGACTGGGATGGCCATACTGGGGTGGGGGGTGGGGGGGTTAGATAATAGAAAATGTTCATTTGGAAGGAAGTTGGTGTTTTAATTTTAGTTGGTCTGGAAAAATGTTATTTCCCCTCTTATTCTATACCCAAAGCTGATCCCTGTTTCACTGAAAAAGCAACAAAAAACCATAAGGAATTCAATTGAAAATTTCTCATCAGGGCTCCTGCAATACAAAAATATATATTATAATATTTGAGATCTACAAAAAAAAGTATATACATATATATTTCTATCTAAATATATAGAGAAATATATAAATGGTGGACAAAATGTGAGATGTGAAGCTGTGTTAATAAAAAAAAAAATATTAACGAGACAATCGTTCAGTGTGTAGAGCTGCAAGGTGTGTAGAAGAGTGAGGAATAGGAGAAGAGGAGAGGAGGGAGTGGAATCTGTAGAGGAAGAATGAATGAGAGATATTCAGAGAAAAGGAGAGCGGAATAGGAGGAGATAGTCGAACAAGAAAAGGTCAGGTCTGTTCCAGGGGTCTTTAGGTGCCCTACAGTCATAGCAAAAGGCTGTTTGATTTCAAGGTGCACAATTTTACAGCAAGGTACTGAATAAGGTGCTTAGGAATTAAAAGCTTCCTGTGCATTTTTTTTTGTTTGTTTTACTGCAGCATTTTTGGTCTCTATATGTCTTGTATGTGTTTGCACACAAATGTGGGAATGTATAGGAAAAAATCCCATTTAAAGACAAGTTAAAACGTAGGGTTCCTCATAGGGTTGACATATGATGATCCTTTCTGAAGTGAGCTTTCAGGAGCTGTAGCATGTTATAATCATTGTTTTCACTTTTGAAAAAAATATATATATTAAGGCGATGTTTTAATAATTGAAATATTGTGGAATAGCAGACGAGATGCACTGCACTGTGGTGCCATTGTCAGTTATTAAGTAACTTTATTTCTAATGAATTATGCACTGCTTCCCTGTTTATTCTTGTTTTTAGAATGGCTTATAAAAAAAAAGTGTTGGATACTGGTTGGATTTTAACTGGTAAATTGAACAGCGGTTCTGTGTCAATGTGAAAGTTTGTGGCTTATTGACAAGTTGCTACAATACCAGCTAGAACTCATTGGCCCTAGAGGAACAGACCTGGCCAGCCCCAGAACATTCTTGGCCCATTCTAGTCTGCTAAAAATAAGGGGTTGCAGTCCATGTACTTCCATCTAAAGAGAGACTAGAATTGAGGAAACCGAGGTGAATGAGGCTTTAATGGTGAGCTGGACAGGTTTTTTTTTTGGAACGGCCAGCGCTCAGGTGGGCTGCAAGCCCATAGGTTACTGCAACCCTGCTGCCACAGGTGGGACCTCTTGGGTCTCTGTGAGTGGAGGGATAGACGACTTCAGGGACAGATCATAGCTGCTTGCACACAGCACCACCTAACTGTGCAGCCCAGCTGCAGCTGTACAGTACATCCACCAGACTCTGGACCTAAGAATCATCACATTAGCCAGAGTTTCTCTCTGTTATCGCAAGACTCAGCCCCGACATAGTAATCACAAACAGCCTGGTTAAAGGCAGAGGCCTGTGGTGACATTCTGTACACATCAGCCCTAACATTTTGTCTCTGTAAAACAGGTCAACTTCTAGTGCTGTGAAAAAAAAGTAAAGATGAAACAGAAAAAGTATCACTTCAGTGTTTTGGAGATTCCAGTGTATTTCCTGACATATGTTCTTGAACATGATACATCCTGTTCTTCAAGACCAAAATGAGTTCAAGAGACAGTGGGTGCAGTGTTGTCATTCTTCAAAACTCTTCATACCCCGTCTCATTTTAATGATGAACTCTTTATTTACTGCTCCTCATGTTCTACATTTACTGGGCAGAACAGTCTGCTTCTAAAATAATATCCTTTTTCGTTATGACTGTAGATACGGAATTTTTCCTTTTTAATTTATGTTAATGTAATCTTGGTTACAAGAAAGGCAGTGGTGTCATGCTATGGAGCAGGCCAGTTTAGTAAATTGAAATCAGGGACTCCCTCGCTCCAACCAATCACACGAAGGAGCTGTGTGAAAATTGGGCGGAGTCAGGAAACAATCCCCTTCCTTACCCACCCAGTTCACCCTGCCCATTTTTTTCTACATGCCCCTTGTCCTTGACCAATCAGACCCCGTTCTTTCCCTTCAACCCTACCCTTCTCAACATTATTTATAAACAAAAAATAGACTCTTGTATATAAGAAACGGTTTTGTATAAATAATAACTATTTTCGTCATCTCCAGAATAAACCAGGGCACAGCTTAAGGTTTGATGTTATAACTTAAAAAAAAACATCGGGTATAAAAGGAAAAGAATTAACAAAAATAATTTACACCTTAATTTCTGAATGGGGCATAACAAACCAGAATAGAGAATAGTGTCTGGCTTTTACATTCATATATTTATTTTGTTTTGATTATTATTATTAATTAATTAATTAATTAATTTCGTTGCATTTATATTAATTTTATGTCATGGTTTTGTTTTTTAAGATTTTCTTTTCACTTTTTTTCTTGAAGAAAAAAGGCATTGCATGCACTGAATATTTTGCTGGTTAAAAAAGAAAAACAAACAAAACCTGAAAAAGATAAAATACCGAAGGGATTCCTAAACTTTTATTCAAAAGTTGCTTCTATTTGCAATTGCTTGTGTTTAACTATACATTCTTTTCTATGAAAACAAAACAAAAAGAAAAAAGACTATTCCAACACCTTGTGCAATAAAGCTATCTTTCTATGAATGAGGCATTGTTGTCCATATTTGATTTGCGACGAGTGTGTGTGCATGTTGGAATGTTAAAGCAGCTGCAAAAGCCATAATGTGGTCACGTGACTGGTCTAAAAAATAAGAAAATCTATTTATTATAACGGGAAGACGATGAAGAAAATTCTATTCAGAAATGCAATGATTTTTGGGGTTTTTTTTTATAGAAGATTAACAGAATACAAAGGTACAGATACTGCATTCTCCATTAAAGTACATCACCTTGTAAGGTGAGACACCTATACATTACTGTACTTGGTAGATGGTTATCCTTTAGTTCTCTGGCTTTTAAAAAGGCACTTGTTGACCTCTAATCCCACCAAGGTCACAGCGCAATCCAACACATTCGTTTTTAGTGCGTCCGTCAAATCAAAATCAAAGATTATATCGCCGGTCTTGCAAATAAGAATTTGTATCGTTCTTATGTACAGCTCATTTAGAGCCAGTCTTATTATAATGAAGACCCCAGCATGCAAATTTCCTGGTGTGTTTATTGATGCTGGAAGCATCCATGCGCGTCCCTGTGATCACGCGCTCCTCTCCACAACAGTACTGCTTCCACAGCCAGAGTACTTATTGAAAAATGTTACACTTTCTGCCAGGTGCCGGACCACACACATGGTAATGCTCTCATACAGGCAAAATAAATGCAGTTGTTAAAAAGCTTTGCTGCAGAAACAAGCAATGTAGGATATATGCTTAAACACAAAATGGGAGATGATGATAAAATGCTTGAATAGAGTTATTCATGTCAAAATAAAAATAAAACATCCGTTTAGCAATTTTTAGTTAAAAAATTTAATTAAAAGCGGCAAAACTGTTGGGTTAGGACTGATAAATAAAATGAAAATGAGAGCCAATAATAAAATGAAAATGGTGTGTATGTGTAAATGACAAAGTTTTTCCATGCGGCTCTCGGTCCGTCACTTCTGGCTGTTCTTCTTCCGCTGGTACCTCCTGAACTGGGTCTGGATTGTAGCGGCTGCTTTGTTCTCACTGGTAAGGAGAACACTGACAGCTACCCGAGGGCAAGTCTGAAGGCACGGAAAGAAGAAAAGGAGAATTGTTTTGGGTGCCATAAATTTAATTTTGCAAGCCCTGCTTAGTCAGCAAAGTGTTTTAAGCCCCCTTGAAGCATGTTAAGAAAATTATCCCCTTCAGCTTCCACTAGGCCAGCAAAGCCCTTGGTTGCCAGGTTTATTGAGACAGAGGAGATTAATATGGACTTAAATTAAAGGGCTTTTCAGTTCCTTTAGAATGAGCATAAATAATAGATATACACTATATGGACAAAAGTACTGGGACCCCTGGCCATTACACTCACAGGAACTTTTATGACATCCCATTCTAAATCCATAGGCATCAATATGGAGTTGCCCCCCCCCCCCCCCCTTTGCAGCTGCAACAGCTGCCACTCTTCTGGGAAGGCGTTCCACAAGATGTCGGGGAATTTTTGCCAGACGAGCATTTGTTGGGTCAGGCACTGATGTTGGACGTGAAGGCCTGGCTCACAATCTCTGTTTTAGTTCATCCCAAAGGTGTTCAGTGGGGTTAAGGTCAAGTTCTTCCACACCAAACTCACCCAACCGTGTCTTTATGGACCTTGCTTTGTGCACTGGGGCACAGTCATGCTGGAACAGAAAAGGGCCCTTCCCCAAACCGTCCCCACAAAGTTGGAAGCATAAAATTGTCCAGAACGTATTGTTATGCATATCAAAACATCCTGGACAATTCTATATTTATGCCTATATATTTAGAATGCAATATATTTTTCGTAGAATCTATAAAAAAGACATCTGTAAAGTTTTGTTCTTCATGAATTTTCTTCATTACAGCAAAAAAAAATAAATAGATGTTTCACTTCATAACAAAATACCATGACTGCCTTCTGATGGCTCAGATGATTATGCACGGATATGTAGGCTTCTGGTGGCATGTCAAATAAAAAAAATCAGTTTTTCAATTAAATAATCTAATCTATTGTTTAGATTAGTGCTTGCAGTCCTGTATACACTCCTGTATATTTTCATTGTAGGAGAGTATGTACAACATAGGAGACAGTACAGTCTGCCTTTATATGAACAGCCTTGTAGAGACTAATGAGTGGTTTGCAGCAGACTGAAATAGTGCCTCTCAATGTTTCTCTTAATTCACACTCACCTGTCACGTACCCATTTCCGCTGTTCCGTCGCATGCTGTCAAACTATAAAACAGGACACCATGTCAGCACCAGTGCACGTAATCTAGGGGGCAAATGCCAGCATAAACTTCAGGGAATTATTTGAATAAAACTGCTAGGAATGCATGTCACTTTGCATGATAATGGCTGCGATTACAACAAGGAAATTAGAAAAACTGTATTATATAATCTATGTGTAACATGCATACCACAAACACCCTAGGTCCATCAATTAATTAATATATTTAATGCATTTATCTCTCAATACATGTAAGTGGAGAATTATGAGACCACATAACTATGTTTGGGTTAGTTCCTGTTAGCTGTTTACATAGTTGGAACTGTTCAGCTGCATGGATCCAACTACATAATTTGCTAATGCTCTTAGCAACTATGCTTTTGGGAAACGTACCCCAGGACTATCCCTGTGTTGTGAAAGAAACAGGCACAGAAAACAAAAAAACAGAGTGATTCAAAAGAATGTTACTTCAAACAGCCCACATGCATACGTGCAGTTTTTCAACATGCCATATTTGTCTTGTCCACAATCGATCTCCAGAAAAATAACAAAGCAGTCAATCATGTGGCATTGCAAACACTTAACCTGTCGACAGTGGATCCCACTGGGTCCAAGCAAAGAATTATACTGTGTTCCTTCCTTGTGCCAGAAAAGCTGTATATTTTTTGCCTGGCCTGTTTTGAGCTAAGAGGACCATTTGTGCTGCGACATAGATTTTGTTCAGACAGATTACACAACCAGTTTCATCTTACCTCAAACAAGTTGGCTGCTTTGTGAAATGAGACATTCCTAAGAATGTATAGAAAAACAATGATTTCTTCTGGACTTCTGTTGTTATTTTTAACTTGTCTTTTTATACTTTGATTGTAAGTCTCTTTGGTCTTTTTATTTTTTGACTGTAACTTTATTATTATTTATCTATTTGATGTTAGTTTTTAGCTACTATATTTATTCCACCCTGTTATGCTGCTGCTGTCTTGCTTTTTGCTTACATGCAAACATGTTGCACTATGTATATAGACCCTCTCCAGCCCTCCTGTTTTGCAGTGTGCTGTGTTTTGTACTTTAACCACTGCGAAAACTCTCCATCATCACTGCTGCTGTATGTTGCACCAGGTCCTGCATAATGCTATTTCTTATCACTGTATATCTGTATATGGATGGTATGACAATAAGGCCCACTTGACTTGACTGGAGGCGTTCAAACTGAAAGTGGGAGTTAAATTCGCAGTGCAACATCGCTGGCAGAAACATCCCTGGCAAACGTGATCGATGGGGGATGACTTTCTTTTCTGTTCTGTTCCCAGATGAATGCATCTTCTTCCTGTGCATGAGTTTTCACATCCTGGTGCACCGATCACGGAAGTCCACACACTAATTTCCCCCTACGGCTCCCTTGTCCGTCTGCCAATCACTGGTTGTCCAGCAGATGAGGAGAAGAGGACTTATACAGTTCACTGCCATTTGGCCTGGCCATCACCTACTGGGTCAGGGGGCACTGACCTCATCGGTCCGACTGCTGCGGCGACTCTGAGAGACATAATGCACCCGCCACGGCATTGGCTGGGACACCACGTAGGGCAGGACGTCTTGGTGCAACAACCTCAACCCAACCTGGCAGAGGAATGCAGAATAGTTACTCATACTTTGCAGCCCTTAAGTAGTAATCAGAGTACCACAGCAAAGCTTAAGCTCTGCCATACTCAAATAGTGACAATGTATATAAATAAAATATCTCATTCAGGTAAACCAGCAAACCTAAATGTGAAGGAAAATGACGTGACTCGACTATGTGAGTGTGAGGGAAACACCGCCTCCTCACACCCTTGGTTGGGGGTTTGAATTCCACCCATGGGAGTTTTACTTAAGAAAAATGATTGGTTCAGAGAGATAACCAATCAGATTATAGAGGAGGTGGGTCCAAGCAACTAGAGGAGGTGGAACTAAGACATCTGATTGGTTAGTCCCACCTCCTCTACAATCTGATTGGTTCTCTCTGAACCAGTCATTTTTCATTTTGTCCTGACAACATTTTTGTGTAAAATTCCTATGAGCTTGAACTACACACCCTCTCTCTGTATGCAAAGTCCAAAGACATGCAGTTAGGGGAAATGGTGTCTCTAAAAAGCCATGTGATGGACTGGAATACCATCCAGGGTGTCCCCTGCTCTAGGCTGCCTAGAATAGGTATTTCCACTCTCCCCATCATCAACCTGTACTGGATAAGGGACAGGCAGCTTCATTCTGTCCTGAGTACAATGAGAACAAGGGTGATATTTGGCGTTCATACGAACGCTGCTGTTCTCACTGCGTTTTCAGTCGCAGATGTACAGACAGGAGCCATCAGCTCTTTCCCAAGCTTGTGTTATTTCAGTTTGCACTTGGTCATGTTCCCACATGTGCAGCTCTGGGGATACAGGACTCCCTTCACGCATGTGTGCATGCAGATGCCTGTTTGCGCTGCTTGGCTGTCCCTAGTGCATGCGTTTATCCGGCTTGTGGCCAGTGATTTGATTAGCGCTAAACCACCGTGTCCCTGGCTTGATTATATTAACTCCACTGGGGACGAAGCTCCCAAACACAGTAGATCCAGTTACTGTCTCAGGGCGAGTGACCGTGCTCCCGTCTTAATTCATGGGTTTTGTGACTTCAGCAGACTTATGCGCTAAATTTCATTAGTAAATCTACTGTACGGCATACAGTGTCTTTTCTAGCTTAAGTTCGAAGTTCACCTAACCCAAAGGACACCATGAACATAAGTTTTAATCTAATTTACAGCCTACTGAGTATTATTCAATAAGATAAGTGACAATGGGCGACATATTAAGTAGGGATGAGTCGGCGTTTCTATCAAATTAAAAACATCTCAAATTAAAAAATCAAATAAGATCAAATAATAAATGAGACATTTTAAAATATTATTTAGTGGCAATATAATTATTTGTCAGTTTTTTGTTCTCTAATAAGTTAGTGGTTTATTAGTTCTTAAATTTCCAACCTCTGTATGAGCAGTGCCTATGCTGACGGAGGCCTATTTGTGAGAAGGTTAACAAAAATTAGTGAGGAGCACAAAAGCCAACAAGAACTGCTCACCAAAAGGTATTCCTCCTCCGCTATATGGAAATATCATAGATTCCATACAAAAGCTTGGTGTCTGTTGGCAACATGCTGTTGCTGTTAATTTTATATATACACAATTAGGTTCTCATGGTTGTCGTTAAAACGTTCTTGAAATTCTTGTTCCGTGAAATTCGTCCTTAATAATATTTTAGATAAGGGGGTGTGTTCAGTGTACCGGGGTCCATTTACAGCAAGTCACAAAATTTAGTTGTTAACAGAATCTGAACTACCGACTTGCTTTTCCCACTACAGACGCACTTTCTTGGTAGATAAATTCTATTTGGTTATAGTGTATTTTGGGTAAATTTTCCCTTTTTGTTTGAAAAATATCTCAACATTTATCACAAAGACTTCAAATATCGCAAAAATCGTGTGATTTTCTTGCCAATATGGTTCACCCCTAGCTTCAAGGCTACGTTCTATGTTCTAAGACTTTAAGTTATCCTTTAGTAGCAACGAATGATAATCTTATTTTGTATGGAAATAAATGGATGTAGAAGCCTATAAGCTAATATACAATTAGAATATATGCTGGACGATTAAACATTATTGAATCTTACCGCACCTGCTAAAGGTACCTCTTCGGTTTAATTTCAGTTTCAACTTCATATAGGCATACTCAAGCTATTTTAATATTATATGTTATCGTTTTTGTAGCAATGAGTAATTTTCTACAGAAAGAAATGTTTTCGATCCATACACGGTTTTATCGGTGTGTATAGTGGCGGTGTGTAGTTATTCGAATTCGAATAATGACTGGGGAAATTCGACTCGTAATTCTGCCTGAAATACTCATCCACAGTATTAAGACTTCTGCATGCTACAGCAAGGGGTGCGTTTCTCGAAACCATCGTTGCTACCTACGTTAGCAACTTGCGTGGTTCAAACTATGTAAGTACGACGCAGGTGTTTCTCGAAACCATAGTTCGAACTACATAGGTAACGATACTGCGGACTTACGTGGTGCGATGTATCGTTGAACGACGCAGGTGTTTCTCGAAACCATAGTTCGAACGAACGTTCGCAGACACTGTCGTTAAGTTGTGTAGTTCGAACTACAGCTCACGAGGTGTAGTTAGAAGCGTAGTTATATGTAAATTCGTCAGCGATGGTGGAAAATACAGTGCAATAAGGGTATAGTCACCGTGTAAGTAAGAAATTTAATAATCTTTAATACCTAATAAGAAATAATTTAGCTCTACGATCACATATAATGTGAAGTTGTCTGAAAATGTAGTTTGAAACGTAAATGTTGTGTGGGTCATAAATACGGTAACTGTCTGTAGCGAGCAAATCTCAGACTGCAAAGTATTAATTAGCACAGGGGTGGGTAATTTTATCCAGTAAGAGCAGAATGACACTACAGCGGCCAGATACGAATCCATGCCTTTGTTCTCGGGAAATTACGTCTGTAATGTTTGGTTATTACACACACCTGTGTATTCCAGTCAGCCAGTATAACAATATTCTGTAAGCGACAACGTCGGAATAAAAGTTATTCTGTTTATCACTCCAAGGATTATTTTTCCGCGATTGCTAATTTTCATTTTATTGGCGTTATGTGACTGACAGAAATTGATGTCACAAATAAATATACGTGTGTGTGTGTGATTATTATATATTTTACACAGTTCGCGAGTGTTTGTACGCGACCGGCTGTGAAAGTGCGTTGTTAGTTGTTGCGCACGACTTGCCGTGAGTCTGACCAATCAGCGCTGGAACCATTGTGGTTTAAATTACGGTAGGTTAGCCGTGAGTCTGACCAATCAGCGCTGGAACCACTGTAGTTCCAACTACATAAGGCCTAACTAACTAACGTGGTTCGAACAACTGTGGTACGACGGTTTCGAGAAACAGTCGTTGGTCGGATGTTGGTTAGTTTGAACTACCATAGTACGATGCATCGTTAATGCTAACTTCCGTCGTTGTTCGAGAAACGCACCCAAGGTCAGTAGACTTCCTGGATGTCTAAGAGCAGCCTCCGTCACTCGACATTATAACCCACTCCCATGTCAACCTGGTATATATATAAAAATCAACAGGGTAACTGAAACCTCCCACTAGTTCCACTTCCGCAAATGGTCTTGCGTTACTCTTCACGGGTATCTACGAAATCAACTTATTTAACAGCTGCGAAGTTAATAACAGATGTCAGGAAGAGGAAACGGACAGTTAACTGATGATTACGCACTTTACCTGCCTTCCACGTACCTGCTCTGCAGCCCTCAGCACCAGGTACATGGCTGTCAGCACAGTTGCCAGCATCTCCGAGCCTGAAGTCAGGGACAGAGAGCGCGAAGAGAGGCAGCGCTTTGGCGGTATCTCCGAAATAAGAAGGGCGCAGTTTGGGGAATCGCCGGCTGGCTTTCTGTCTCACCCACACAAATCTAAATGGCAGCCTAAGTCTGCTAATGAGCTTCGGCTACATAAGTATGGGCGAGCTGTTGTAATCTTTTGCCTGGTTCTAATTTAGGAATGTATCCCCCCTGTTATACGTCGGCCCCGTTAGTGAAATCTAATACATGAAATGCTGTTATAACCAATATTGTTATTTTTGGGTTAATTTTAGTAGTATTAGTCCTGAAAAGCGTAGTGATTTTTTATTGTATTCTTTCAATTACAGTATAAATAGGCCTAATTATGTTGCTTGTTGTACTACTAGCTAGCGCATGTGTTTTTGGTTTATAGTTTTCTGGGTTAGTTGCTGTCAGTCCTCTAGTAGTTACTGTTATGATGACCTTTAAAATATATATTTTGGTAATCACCAAGAAGATAGTAAATATAAATACCTTTCTTTACGGCCCAACATGCTTCACCCGTTAATCAGTTGAGATCTGGAGCTGAAATATTGGTAAGAATTTCTAAAGGAAACATGGTGAAACTGGTGAATAATGCTCCAGTCCTGGGTTACTGGGGGGAGGGGGGGTAATTTGAGGCTAAGCGAAGTGCTCTCCTAGCTCACATAACCTGGCCCTTAGGGACACTCCTTCACAGATAAATAACACTGCTGCTCATGTGTGTATGAGTGTGAGCAACAAAAAAAGAGACAAGCCTAGATAAATGTCCTGTTTTAAAAAAGAGAAAACCGATTCCCTGTCCTCCTAAGCAGGGGCGCCATAAGGCAGTTAGGACGATTACAAATCAGGGACCCTAAATATTTTCAAACGTAATTAGATTGGTCTGGGTTGAGGGAATGAGGGCCCAAAATCTCTAGCAGCACCTCTGCTCCCCAATATTTCTGTATAGTCACAGAGAACACAGGGAATGGCCTACAAGCATCTCTGGATGGCAAAGATCTACGCCCAACACAGTACTGGTCTCTGTTAGTACACAAGTAGGTGGGTGGATGGATGGATGGATGGATAATTAGATTTAATATATTAGTGTCTCAAGTTCTGTTGCATTTTTTTTGTAGGTTTTGTTGGTCCCTGTGAGTTTTATGAAAATGTTATTCTCTCCCATGCGTGGGTTTCCTGCGTGCAGCTTAAGTCAACTGCCCTTAATGAATGTGTCTCCCGAATAAGCAGGTAGAAAGTGGATGCATGATTAACAAACATCGCAATGCACTCAGAATAAGCTGAGAAAAATGTATTTTTCTCGCCCTTCTTTGATCCAGTTTGCCTTATGGTCATACACTAAAATAACCCGATACCTCTAAGGATAGACAGTATCTGGAAAATAGTAGCGCTAAAAATAGATCCACTTGATGTGCTACCAGGGTGTGCATGTATACCACTGTATTGTTTTTAGCTTATTTGATATTTTGCTTGAAAACAGATATAGATTCAGTCTGTTAAACTCTGTAAACCCATCATATTGCAATTGAAATGACTGAAGTAAAATTCTGCGTTGTGAATTTAGGCCTTAGCTCGTCTTTGTCAAGTTAACTGGGGCATTTTCAGAGACCGCAGACAATGATTTTATATGATTCTGGTTAAATGAGGTATTTAGCAGATCAGTGCAGAAGGTGGACGGTGCATTTGTTTACATTTTCACGCTGATTCTTTTCAACTCACTTAAAATTGTTTTATGAGTACAGTATTATTATTATACAGTACAATTATTGTATTAAAATTATTATATTAAAATGGTATTGTTGGAGCCTTTGATATAGCTATTAAGGTAACACTTTACTTGAAACTGTCATCTATGATGCATTATACATACCATCATAAAGCATTATAATGGTTAGTATAAGCATTAATAAAGCATTACAGCATCTTCTATTGATAGTCATAATGCATTATAATGTTGATTATAATACTTCATAAGCTCCAATGAAGCTCTCATCTATAGTGCACTATGGATACCTTCATAGTGCATTATAATGGTAGAAGATAAGAATTAAGGATGCTTTGTACTGCATTATGAAGGTCTCTATAATGCATTATAGAAGAGAGCTTCATAAAGCATTCATGATGCATAATAAACATGGCTATAATGTGTTATGCCTTTTTATAAATATTTATAACCATGTTTGTAAAGCTTTATAAATGCATTATAATGTGTTATAAATGTCTTCATTGATTCCTATATACATGGCAATCATAGAAAATGTTGACACGGTTAATGTAATTGATTAACCAAATAGATACCTTGTTTGTTGCAGAGGTAGTACTGTATTCAAGGACCAAGTAGAGGAGGATGTACTGCAGATACTTGAATAGAGAGTCATCCTGGACATCTGTGAAGGGGAGTCACTGGAGCTGATAACCACATTTGAAATCAGCATTTGGAATGCATGAGAGTATTATCCTGAGAGTATTATCCTGAGAGTATTATCCTGAGAGTATTATCCTGAGAGTATTATCCTGAGAGTATTATCCTGAGAGTATTATCCTTCGATTCCCAACAATTACGGTGGTGCCTCAGACCGCTCTGACAGACACTCCAGAAGAGGTCGGCCCACCCCCAGGCATAGTTTACACTCTCACTATCCACATGGCCCAGACCAGTAAAACGGTGTAATCCAGTGCTTCTCAATCTGGTCCTCGGGGTCCCCCAGAAAGTCCATGTTTTTGCTCCCTCCCTCCCACAGAAGCAAGATTCTGCTCTGTGCCTCAAACACTTGACCTAATATTGGTCTTTCAGCTAACATGTCAGAGTGTCTGATGTCCTGGATGCAGACGCCCGCCCTCTAGAGCTGGTGGATGGAGACAAAGCCCACTGTGCCCTCTTTCTGAGGGCGGAATATGAGCAGAAGAATAGAGGAGATTACCTCAAGAAAGCCAGCCAATAGTGTCGAAAGCACTGGCTTCCACAGTATTAGGAACTCTACATACATTCCACTTTGTTTAGACTGCGATTTAAGCATATGGGTACCAATTGGACCAGGGTGTTTATATAATGTTATATACGGTTACAGATAATATGACAAAAGGGCTGGCATTTGTCCTCTTGCCTCTGATAACCACACAACCAACTTCCTGGTTTTGAGAAATATATTTCTGTCATTGCAAGAGATAATATTCCTATTTGTCTTTTCGTTTGTTGGGGAGCTGCAGTGGAGTTTAAGCTCCCGGTGATACAGCTGGCGCAAATCGCTCAGATCTTGACAACTGGAAAAAAAAGACAGCAGCCCCTTCGCAGTGACTCGGAACAACTGCAAGTGCCTGTTGGGACTGTGGCAAAACACTTTTCTTTATGGTACCAATCAATCATAGGTACAGCAAAGCACTGCTTGAGCAGAAGCAGAACCTGCTGTCCTCGCTTTCTAATTGTTTAATAAAGACCCCACATAGACCGCCGGGATTTATGGGCCGTACAAGCGACCTGAGGGTGCTGGTAGAGTGATAGAGCTTCTTCCATGTGTTTTGAAATGCACATGCACAGCATTTTTCAACTGGCAGTGATCCCATTTAGTGCCACATGAACAAATGTACGATCCACTATAGATACCTTAATAATGCATTATAATGGTCTTAGAATTAAGGATGCTTTGTACTGCATTCTGAATGTATTTATAGTGCATTGTAGATGAGAGCTTCATAGTGCATTCATAATGCATAATAAACATGGCTATAATGTGTTATGCCTTTTTATAAATTGTTATAGCCGTGTTCATAACACTTTATGAATGTGTTATAATGCATTTTGAAGGTATCTATAATGCATTATTTATGACTGCTTTAAGTAAAGTGTTACCAAAGATGTTACCACAGTTCACCCAAGAGCTTGGTGAGCTCATTATACTACTGAAAAAATAACCCTTCTGTGGAACGAAATGTCTGAGGCAGACAAATCCCTTAAAAAAAAGATATTGAAGAGTGTTCATAGCTATTCATCCCTAATGAAGAAATACACGATAATTTCACAAGTAGTGCAGAAAGTGACTGGAGCCAAAATCCAGGCTCATTTTTGCTGTTCTTGAAGACAATAAGCTGGAGGCAGAGTTTGCTATTACTTGGAATGCAACTATCAATGCTGAACCTACATAATTCGGAGATGCGATTCATTACTGAGAGAGTAATCAAGCAAATGAAATAGCGAGTTACCGGCTGGGCCATCAGCAGATTTCTGAATAAGCTTGGTCTGCATTTAGTTATACAGAAGTGAATTTTGGCCTGAAGGTTCACTGAAGGCAACAAAACGGAGGTTCGTACTTGTTAAAGGACAGCAATATATGTATCTCAGGAAAAAAAAAGCTGGAAATGACTGCTTCATCTGCATGCAGTTTCAGGTCAAGTGCATGTTTAAAGTGGATTATGGAACTGTGTGTCAGAGTGATGCTTTGGAAGAAGAGGGATTTTCTCACACATCCGAAAAGAACCTGAGAGCTACAGTTCTGGGAATCAGTAGATTATTCCAGAACAAAAGGTGAGGGTGTGGTCAGCAAATTTATGGGTAGGGACCATTTCAAAACCAGACACAAGACACAGATAGACACACAGATAGATATTAATGTATTTATGTAACTATTATACATTCAAGTATGACCAGCTGCCTGTGTTCACCGCTGCTGAGATGTGAGCCGTGAATGTTAGGATGTGACCCCTCATTCATAACGTGTAGAGTTAACAGTAAAAGGCAGGAATGGTGAGAGATGGGGGTGGGGATTAAGAGATGTGATCTGATGAAGGAAGCTCACTCATTGGCCTGATCACCCTGGCTGCAAATTTGACAACGTGTTGATCACAGTCAATGTAATTTGTTGACAGAATAATTTATTTAAACGTCACATTTTTTTTTCTATTCTAATATTTACTAATATTGGGTTGGCATGTACCTACCTAAATTCATTGGCACAACATCACTGGGTGTGGTAACAGAGCTTCTGGTTCTGTCTCCTGAAGGATCTGCTCTTGGAGGGTAGCTTGTCGGAGCTATCTGCTGCACCCTGAGAGCCTCGCCCATAAGCAGCAGCAGCACGAGATCAGGCAAAGCAGTGGTTAGACAGGTGGACTAATGAAAAACAGTGAAACGTTGATGTCCTCTGAAAGCCTGTGAAAGTCTGGAAGCTGGGGAGGTACCTGTGCCCTGGGGGGCCTTCAAATTGCTGATCTTTCAGATGTGGGACACACTGCATGTCACACTCTGGTGACCATTTTAAGGGTCTAGTCTTGTTTATCTGCACAGTGTCCCGATCCTGCAGCACTCAATAGCCAATCCTGCAGGTGCTATGGCACTTTCTTACCCATCAGGAGCATAATCCCAGAGGCCCAACATGTACCGTAATGACTTGAAACCTACTGCACATTAGAAATTATCGTTACCTAGCAACTTGGGTCAATAATGAATTTTCTAATAAAAACCAAGGAACATAGTTATTGCTGCCAAAGATGGTTTGGTTTCTAAATAGCTATATAATGTAATTGATATTTTTTATGAGATTGTGTCAGCAAAAATGAATTTTACGATTAATCAGTGTGAATTTTACGATGGGTCCTGACATGATCCTGACCTGGTTAAGCAGTTAGAAGAAGGATAGATGGATAGACAAAGAGTCGTAACAGGAAATATTATTTTGTATCATTATAAAGTATCAGCTAATACATACCAGTTTAAAGATTAAAACAGCATTTTGAGGCCTGCAAACTCTTTAATACAAGTATGAAGAGAATGTGGCAATAAGCAGGCTGAAAGGCTTTGTAGCGTTTTACATATTGGTATTAAAAGTCCTGCATAAAATGCAAAGATGCAATAAACTCAATGGAAAAAGAAGCATCAGTTTTGAGATTTAAGTGCATAAAAATGTGTGTCTAACAGAAAAACTGTGAGACCTGCTTATCAGTAGAAGCGAGATCCTGAGAGAATTCCACTCAAACCGCAAACTAATGATTAAAAGGCAGCACTAGCAGAATATTGGGATTTATGAGTCTGTTCTTTAATTTAAAGCTCAGGAGTTTTGCTTCGCGAGTGTAAAGGCCATATGAATGAACATTTATGAGTCTGCATCCTATCCAGGGTCTTCCAGGTACCTCCTGCAACACTGACCAGGATAAGTAATTACAGAATGGATGGATGGATGGATGGATGGATGGAGAAAGCAGTTAACACAATGTTCACCAAAATAATTTATTACTCAGGCAGCATATGCAGTACTGGGTCATGGTGGGGAGGAAGCAGTTTTACCTAAATGCATGTCTTTGTGCTGCAGCAGGAAACCCACAAAACACAGGGATAGAATGCAATGCGTGCACTCACCAGCGTGAGGCGACAGTGCTGCACACCAGGTACCTGCCCTAATTTCGGTACAGGAAATTTGCAAGAGTTTGAGAATTTGAGTTAAAGATCATTTGAGATGAAAACTATGGAAATTTATTCTTGTATGTTTAGTTTCTTTCATCAAATTATTCCATGAATTACCATCGACGCTAATATGCAAATGCTAATCACCAATAAATCTTATTATTTATGCAGAATCTCACTGAAGGTGAGTGGTGAAGGGGGGGGGGGGTGCAGAATAGGCTAGTGAATTCCGTCAAGCAAATTCCGTCTGGGTGTCCTAGGTCTCAGTGTGGATCCAGTCATAGATTGACACTAAATGTGACTTTATTTATGCCTCATTTTAACAAGGCAAACTGCTGAACACTGATAGTTGACGTGGTGCCAAAATTGTATTATGACAGGTAGTAACTGCATAAAATATATTTCACCAGACGGTGAATGTTACATTGCTATTAATAGCACCAGGAATGAAAAGCTTCTGTTTCCTAGAAACGAGGATTTGTTTGTAGTGGTGAACCTACAATATATCTGTGCGAGGCCTCACGGATGGATTTTTCAGAGAATATTAATATGCATTAATGAATGATTGATCATAACACAGGGGCAGGAAATCAGTTCCAATCATCTCATTCAGTGACTATGTTCCAAGCTGCTTTCGTTATTGTATTGTTGCGGCCAATCAGGGGAGAGTCCATCCCGACTCAAACCTCCTTTCCGACTTAAGGCATTGACCCTAACAGCCTGAGCGAAAGGCTCCAAAGAGTGTTACACTGCAGCCTACAGGAAACCACAACACACCCTCCCTCACCCTGGTCCAACACTGGCTCTCAGGGGCCGGCATATGCAGGAAACACATTTCTGGCTTTACTTACTATTTGCAGGGCTGCCAAATTTAAGTTCTTATCCTACTTACGACACCAAAATAATGACTCCATCGGAGGCAGCTTGTGATAAGATGAACACCCACCTCCCATACTGAATGGCCTGACTGGCAGGCTAAAGCCTCTTAGCGATGCTCCTAGGATCACTATAGTAACTGTGACGTGATGACCTGCCGGGATTCTGAGGATTATAATACCTTGTAGGCTGAGATCTTATCCTTCGTGGGTCTCTCTCCCATCACCCATAGCAAGAGCTAGTCCTCCGACCAGTTTGCCCACAGCCAAACATGCCAGGTGGTGCAGCTTCCCCAGCACTGGCTCCAGTTGGAATATCACGCACCGCCTCCTGCCGTCTCTCCCCTGTGCTGAGATGCCGAATTGCAGATGCCACAATCCATGCTGAAACGGCCAATGCTATAGACCAGACCATTTCCATGCTTGCACTCCTAATGAAGGCCTGGCTGACAAACTGATAGCCCCAACTGGATTCTCAGGACCCTCAACCAATGGCACTTGGAAGGAACCTTAAGAGAACTGGAACCACCTCTTTCCAGAGAACAAGCCCATACCTACTGATCCCAATGTGCTTTGGGACCCACCAGGACAAAGTTGTGTCCACCACCGATCCACTTGGTTCAGGTGTAGCATCACTTTATGTTACATGATTCCAAGAGAAACTGGGCTTTGTGGTATTGGACAAGTACTACAATTGTTCTGATCCCATGATCTCACCCAGAAGAACCAACTCGACTATGTCTCGTGGACCAAAGATGCTGAACTCATTCCAGCTATTAAAAGAGTTCCTGATCAATGTACTGGTTCCCCACACCTCTGACTTAAAGCTATCCTTCCAGCTTTATACCAGAGTCTCAGGTGGGCCTGGGGGCCATCATCTTCCGTGACTTTTGGGGTGAGGAACACCCAGTGCTCGCCCTTGCCGAATGATGGTACACTGCCATGGATCAGGAGGCCCTGGTCATCAAATAGGGGGCAGCATGTGGGGGCTAAGCCTGTGTGTCTGTAGTCAGAAGGTCACCGGTTCAAACCCAGCCTCAGCACGTCTGCAGGTCCTTGAGCAAGGCCCTTAACCCCCAGCTCCCTGGGCACCCCAACAGGAGGCTGCCCTTCACAGACAGCTTATTCTACAAAGAGCAAGTTGAGGGAGGCATACAGTAAAGACAATCTCCCCATGGGGATCAATAAAAGTATCTATTATTATTATAAATAGGCCATGCACAAGTTGAGATATTATCTTCTCTGCAGGCCCTTCACCCTCATCACAGACCACTGCAGTGGATGGCCAGGACCAGGAAGACTAACACTTGAGTGAGCAGCTGGTTCCTCACCCTTCGAGACAATGATGTTACAGTGACGGACAGCCTATGGGGATGCAAATGACTAAATTGGTGACCACAGCTCAATAGCCACCATATAATTTCCCTAAATAAATCTTACCCTTCAAAGAGTATTTACCTACACCTTAATCTCATGCTCCTCCTTATCTGCCATGTAAAAAAACAATTATACATTTTTATCACTGGTAAGCTGAAGTGAATAGCTCTAGAATTTACATTGTCAGTTAAATCACAGACCTACATGAATGGTAGCTTAACTTAATTGATGAAACCACTAAATTATCAAGCTAAGAGCGTGCTACTGGAAGCTAAATGCATCCACACTGGTTGTATTAGGTAATTAAGTTTGTATAAACTTCTAACAGTTCTATCTTTTGCTTATAGTCATATTAGATCTTGTACCTGCAAGACAGACTGATCCTGCTGAATATAGACAGATGGATTTAGATCCCATACTGCAGGAAATAAAATGATTATTTATTAAACTAGATACAACTTCAGATATCATTTTTGAATAAAAAAAATAATAATTATACAATTAATGATGTAAATCTTGGGAGCAAGAGGCCACTGTTGATGCAGATTTGCTCCATCAGATCCTCTCTTTATGCCTGACCTGAGTGACCAAACATATTGTGAGATATTTGTCTGCGTTTTCTTGTTTCTTTTGTTTGTTTGTTTGTTTGGAAGTTTCTGTTTTGTTCACTCCATTCTCCGCTGGGAAGGGAATCTCTAAATATGACATTTGTTCTCAAATAATGTGATTTTGTTTCACTGGCTGCCAGGTTTTCCCAAATCAGTTAAATACAAATTATTAACTGTATATTTAAGTTAAACTGTAATTTGACTGTGAATTTTAAATATACATTTATATATGTGTATATATATATATATATATATATATATATATATATATATATATATATATATATATATATATATATATAGCCAATCCCCGATGAAGAGTAAAATACATGTTTTCATCTACAATGGCATGCTCTAGTGGCCAAAGAGTGACATTGCAATATTTACTGCATGACTTTCTTGATTTTTTGTGACTTTTGTTCACAGCCTTTAACTGTAAAACATCCTGTTTTAGAGCTATTTGGATACACATGCACATGTAACTTTTTACACAGAATGTAGCTTAAGTTAAATGTAATTTAGGTTAAATTTAAAATTGTACAGATCTTCATATTTTTCCTAAATATGAAAATTAACTGGGGAATGGGGTAGGTCATGTGATCATTCTCATACCATATCTTATACTGTAGCTCTTGCTCATTGTGATATTTTAATATTGTGCATGAAACTCGTTAGACTGTAACAAGGTGATTCAAAGTATGACAGACAGACAGACAGACAGATGATGATGATAGATAGATAGATGATAGATAGATACAGTAGATGATAGATTAGATAGATATAGATAGATTAGATAGATAGATAGATAGATAGATAGATAGATAGATAGATAGATAGATAGATAGATAGATAGATAGTGCAAAGACAGAAACCCATTATGTCACTGAAAATAAATACCTCAAGGCAGAATTCATGGTTCCATTCCCCATTTTATTTAACCAGGATTAAAACAATGGTTCACACAGATTGTTTTCACTGAATTTGCATTTAAATTCCCCCCCCCCCCCCCCCCAAACACACACACACTTCTTCAAAGAGCCCAGAGGCCAATGTTAATACATCCCTCATTTTCAGTCCTTTGTTTCCTGTGGTAACATCCCTGTTAGACGTTTGATGATGATCTGCACTCAATGTGCAGAATAAGACAACAAAACACCTGGACACGCCACCCGACAGGGCAAGTCTTACAGGAAATATGACAGGTAATATGGAAGCAGCACAAAACACTCAAAGCTTAATTGTAAGCTTAACTTCAATTGCTCATTTGTTTTCTATATATTTCCAATGTGTTAAACAGGAAGATCCCTAAACCTAAGACATTTACAAGCCAGGAAATGACAGGGATACTGAAGGCAGGAGTGGAAACTTAATTAGCTACGTTCACATCCACAGTGACATTAAGCAGCATGAATGTGACAAATTAATATTGTAAAACAATTTGTTGCATGACACTGGTTTTATTGACACTTCTTCATTTTCATGCCCCATCACATATACATAAATTCACTCACATGTTCACATACTGTGAGAAATTTAGTCACAAATTGATTGAATGTATTTGGACTGTGTGAAGTAACCAATTTAAACGCATTGCTGTTACAGCTATTTAATATTTTTTAATGCATATAGAGCCAAATAAGACTTTTCTAGCCTAAATGACAGACGACTATAATTAATGTGCTTTATATTTAAAGGGCAAGGCTGCTGCAATTCATCAAAAATTAATCAAACATGACATTCAGAACCTGTAATTTTTAAAATTCTGTTAATACTTTCCCCAGTGGGTGTCCATGTATTGTTCCCTTAAAAAATACTACTGAGGGGGGTTTAAACACTGAGCCGACTGAGTTACTCCAGCCGCTTGTACCAAAGAAAACAGTCTGTGTCTATCATCTGGACACATTGTGGCTCTTAGTGAAGACGGCACTGATCAAAAAGGTCAAATGTCAACACTGCGGAAAAACAGTTTCCGTCACCAAAGGTTATACCACCAATCGGTTTCAGCACTAGCAATATTTAAAATACAGTGTAAACCGCTTATAGAGATCACGATTATAGTGATCAAACGCTTATATGGATCAAAAAGCTTGGGACAGAATAATTCTGGGACAGATACTGTTTCAGAAATTTGCTTATAGTAATCAAGCAATCCGTTTACAGTGTTCATTTTAGGTCTTTTTATGCATAACAACATATGGAAGAAATTAAAATTATGGTAATTCTTCCTTTTTTTACTTGCCTACTTTTCCTTGCGGTAACCCAGTCTGCTTCTGGTTAGCCACCCGTGGCTAATGCTGCGTGCACAGAAAATATGACGGGAAAAAGAAAGTCATTTTCTCTCATTGATGAATGTAGACTCATCAAAGGTTATTATAAACTGTCAAAGATGAACCAAAGAGATGCAGCAGTGAAACTACAATAAGCTGTATTTTATGTACAGCACTGTATTGTAGTATAGCGCAGCGATTCTCAACCCGTTGGATCGCGACCCAAATTCCAAAAGGGTCGCGAAGCAGAATTGGAAATGTAAGCAGTTTAAAACCAGCAAGCTCCTATGCTGATCCACGATCAGATTTACAAGCCCCAATTATAGCATTAAGTTATGTAATCGGGTCTGCAAATGCGAAGTGCAAAACTAGTGAACATTCAACCAATCCAAGAAGCCCAAGTATTGGGTCGTTTGCTTAATTCAGTAAAAATATTGCAATTTATTGATTTTATAACATATATCATTACTTTATTCATGTTTACAAAATAAATATCACATTAGAAACAAGTTTTAAGTAAAACATTAATTTCAAGTTGCAATAAATTGAAACCAAAATTATAGCTCCCATAGAGCTGTTCTGAGTTAAAAAAGTTAATTGATAAGCAGGTGCCTTTTTAATTAGTAACACCTTTGCAATGACATAAACACACCAGACATATTTAGTATCTCTTTGGGAGCCAGTGTCTACAATTGCAATTAATAGCAAAATGGCAAAAACAGAACTGAATGAGTCAAAAAACTTATGGAAGTGGAAGATATGTGCAGATACAATAAATATTGATTGCCAATGGACTTTTGTTATGAAACCAATAAATGTCCAACATTTTTACATTATTAAGCAGGCGTCCCCAGACTCGCTGTGAGCACTGGGGGCTCTCTGCCATTACCTAGAGCTTCATTAAACCTGAGGATCAGCTGTTATCTTTATTTACTTTATGCTTAGCCTCTGTGCCTGTGATCAGGTCACTGGTTTGAGCCCGACCTTTAAGCAAGGCCCTTAACCCCCAACTCCCTGGCCCTTTGCAGCCAGTTTGCTCTCACCTACAGAGAGCAAGTTGGGGGAGATGTGAAGAGAATTTCCCCATGGGGATCAATAAAGTATCAGTTATTATTATTGCGCTCTTTACATCATTAAGCTTGTTTTAATAAGCTAGGTAGGCATAGCATACTTGCAGTCCATCTGGAGCGGAAACTTACCGTGTACAAAAATCTGCTTCCACTTTTCACTGGCAGTTTATGGAATAGTCAAGTTTTATAGCCTAAAAGAAGAAAATAATAGGAAGGGGTAAGTATGCTGCTATACTGCAGCGTTTCCCAACCCTGTCCGTAGGGACCCCAGACAGTCCACGTTCTCGTGTGGGGTATCAGTATGTATGATTTTCCAAATCTCACTCAGCCCATTTTTTTGTTCTTGAGATGAGACCAATGACCCAAAGACAGGCTTCCTCATCCCATGTTACAGTGCTAAGAAGTAAAACTCACTCAGTCCCCATGTAATCTAATGAAGAACATCCACAGAAACTTTCTTGAAAACACTCCCTGGCCACTTTATTAGGTACACCTGTTCAGCTGCTCGTTGAAGCAAATATCTAATCAGTCAATCATATGTCAGCAGCACAGTGTATAAAATCATGCAGATACAGGTCAGGAGCTTCAGTTAAAGTTCACATCAAACACCAGAATGGGGAAGAAAGGTGATGTAAGTGACTCTGACATGGTTGCTGGTGCCAGACAGGCTGGTATGAGCATTTCAGAAACTGCTGATCTACTGGGATTTTCATGCACAACCATCTCTAGGGTTTACAGAAATGGGTCAAAAAAGAAAAAAAAAACATCCAGTGAGTGGAGATTCTCTGGGCAAAAATGCCTTGTTGATGGCAGAGGTCAGAAAAGAACGACCAGACTGGTTCAAGCTGATAGAAAGGCAAGAGTAGCTGAAATAACAGATCCTTCTCTGGATGGACGACACGTCAAGCCTTGAAGCAGACAGGCTACGGCAGCAGAAGGCCGCACCGGGCGGGACCCCTGTCAGCTACGATAAGGAAACTGAGGTTACAGTGGGCACTGGCTCACCAAAACTGGGCAAAGGAAGACTGGAAAAACATTGCCTGGTCAGATGCATTTCGATTTCTGCTGCAGCATTCAGGGTCTAAACAACATGATAGTATGGATTCATCCTGCACTGTATGAACAATTAAAGCTGGTGGTGGTGGTGTAGTGTTGTGGGGGGGATATTCTCATGGCACATTTTAGTACCAATTGAGGACGCCATAGCCTACCTGAGTATTGTTACTGACCAGATCCATCCCTTTATGACCACAGTGTACCCAGCTTCTAATGGCTACTTCCAGCAGCATGCCATGTCGCAGAGCTCATATCATCTCAGACTGCCTTCTTGAACGTGACAATGACCTCACTGTACTCAGCCTCTGCAGTAGCCGGATCTCAGTCCAATACAGCACCTATGGAATGTGGCAGAATGTGGGATTTACATCAAGAAGGCACTGCTGACAAATCTGCAACAACTGCCTGATGCAATCAAGCCAGCATGGACCAAGGTCTCTGATGAATGTTTTTCGCACCTCATTGAATCTATGCCACGAAGAATTAAGGCAGTTCTGAAGGCAAAGGCGGGTCCAAACAGGTAGTAGCAAGGTGTACCTAATAAAGTGGCCAGTGACTGTATGAGTGCAGAGTGCCTCCAACCTTGTGCCCAGTGCTGCCTGGGTTAGGTTCCAGGCCCCCAAACCAGGAGAAACAGCTGGAAGATGGATGAATATTAGACTGCCATGATTCCTGCAGATGGAACGCTCTTTACTTCTTTAGTCCTGAATGTGTTTGCGTGACGCAGAGTTTCTCTAATGTCGCGTCCAAATGACTGTCCGACACACTCAACACTGAGTGCAAAAGTCACGAAAGCAAATTTATTTTGCTCTTGTTGACATGAAGAGAAGTAGAGAGATCGGGATGCTGACCCTGCAGCCATCCACAGTGTACATAATGATTTTAAGTGTGCATAAAACATTTATTGGTGAGATGCCGCCTACTCTAGGACCTTTGGCGAAAAGGGCACGATATCATTTTCTGTGGGTAGCATGATGATCCAAGACTCATCTCTCACCCTCAAGGATTCTGTCCTCCCGGATAGACAAGACAAGACAGACAAAACCAGGGCAGGAAAAAGACGTGAGAACATTAAGAAGGAAACATAAAATAAGGAGAGAAAAGATGAAGCATGATGAGGAGATTATGATATTAGGAAGGGTGTGACCGCTTTATAGAGATTTATAGAGAGAGAGCGAAAGTGCTAAAGGTGGCACAGGAGAAGGTGACTTTGTGTGCTGGAGAGAGAAAAGGAGGCTGCTGGAAATGGGTTGGCATTTCGGGGGGGGGAGAGCCAGCTTCCCTGCATCTCACCGCGTTTTGAAGTCACAGCTCTGACAAGGGAGGCCCTGATGTATTATTCACGAGCTCTGGCACACTGTGCCGCGTAGGTACATGCACACGCACGCACACACATGCACACACGCAGACAAAAGAACCATGGTTTGCTTCATTTACGTGATGCTGCTGTTATCAGTGGAATTATCTCCAGGGCTCAGGCTAATTCCCGCCCCCATGCGGTGCCCGGGTCCCATTCCTGCCCCTCGCCGTCTGCCTCACCCACTTTCCGCATCTGCTAACACACTCTCTTCCTTTTATCTTTTGTTTGTATCTTACACTTTCTGACCCTGTGAATCTCTTTATGTGGTTCCTATAAAACTTAATCTATTAAACTATCCGCGAACACTTCACATTAACTGCACCTTCGTAATGCATTTATAATGCATTCATAGAACATTCATAAGCAGCATGTAAGTATACCTTAATATGATGGTGCACTTAATGTTCTGTGAATGCATTATAAATGCATTATCATGGTATAATCATTGCTAGTGTTTGTTATTAATGCATATTGAAGCTGTTAAGGTGTATTAGGATGCATACTTACATGCTGCTTATTAATGTCCTATAAAGGCATTATAAAGGCATTATAAGTGTTACCAATTATGTCAACATACCTTTCCTTTATTTCCACAATCATTTTGGCTTTGAGTCTTAAAGTAAGACACTCTGGTTCTGCCAGGGCTGGACTTACTGCAAGACATATAGGCGGCTGTATGGGGTCCTGAAAAATAGGGGTCCATGAAGATAGAACTTCCATAAGTTATACGTAGGGATGTAAAACAATATTATCAATTATACCAACGTATGAATTATTCTCATTCTCAGCCATCTTCAGTACTGGAGTCTACCGGTTGTTTCGCTGCCAAGTGAACCGACACGAAGCAGTGTAATAGCAGAGGAAAACAGTGCAAAGATACCAGACTATTACATCTGATACTGTACCACTAGAGTGGTAGACAAATTGTGAATAGTTTTGGAGAAAACACAATTAAAGGAGTGTATGAAATAATTCAGGACTAGCCTTAGCCGCAGAGGCAGTGTAGGGTATGGGGTCACTCAGGCAACAGCCTAGGGCCCTGGCAAAAGAAGGGATGGTTAAACTTCTTAAATTTGACCGATAGATCCACCAGCACAATTCCCCCCCCAATCAGTGAATATTACCGACAGCACTCCCGCCCCCCACCCTAATCAGTTAGTTTTATCGTTGTCACCCCATGCTTAGATCTGCATATTATTGATGTTCCATCATTTTAAATTCCCTCTCCTTTATCTTTCCTCAAGAAGTAGCTGAAAAGGCCCCTTAGGGGCCCCTACCCATGTCAGCCTAGGGCCCCCAGAGACGTTAGTCTGTCTCTGCGTGGTGCTGATTGGCAGTCAGCATGCTGAGCCCGTCTCCATGGCGCCGACCCGCAGTCACTGCACTCGGACTCCAGAAAAGCACAGGAGGTGAGAGACAAACACAGAGCGGCAACAGAGTGACATGCGGGTGACAAAAATGACGCTGACAGAGTGGGATGGAGATTTACACACTTACCTCAGAGCTGAATCAGCCCAGGAAGGAGAAGGAAGAAGTCTGTGGGGAAGGACCAAGGTCAAAGGTCACCTTAACTTTTTGATCCCAACATAAATCACTGCATATATTACTGCTGAACATCAATATAAATTAACAATATTGCCGTATTATGAAATACAACATTATTAGAAAATGCTCACTAAGAAAATACCAACACCAGTTATCAATTACGTGTCCAGAAGTAAGATATGAGTATACTTATTAAAGAATACTGCTGTATTGCGATACTACTATTGAAATACGGAGTGTAGAAAATCAGGAAATGCACCCAAGGAATCATATACAAGTTACTTTCAAAGCTAAGCAGGAAACACGGGGGAGGCAGTAAGTCCAGCTGCAGGTGGGGATTTCTGCTGGTGCAGGACTCCGGTACCGTCTGCAATAACAACAACACGACTGCAGTAAAGTGTGTCAGTGTGCAAGTGCAGCCAGACTCGCTGTGTGCCGGTGTCCCAGTTTCCCCATGTGACAGCGCGCGCTGCCCTTGCCTTACAGAAGGAGGGGGCACTTTTTAATTGTAATGTGATGAACGGAGGTGTGGACAGGGACTCTACCCCCTGTGGGAGCCCACCGGAGTACTAGGTCAACGTTTGGTGAAGGAGACTTCAACGTGAGAAAAGGCAGTCTGACCCGGCCATAAACTCACTGAAATACAGGAGTGCTTGTGAGTGTTTTACAGTGGAAATAGACAGGGGCGGAGCCACAGGGGCACTGGCCCCAGATGAAAGCTGATTGGCACCCGGGACGCCCCCTCCACTGTCACTCAACAATTTACAAACACATAATTGGCTTATAAGGTTGGTCCCTCTGTATGAATAATGGTTCCTCTTCTAGAATCACCCCTGGATGTAGAGCACAGGGTTGCAGTGGCGTTCCTGGTACCGCTGTGTCTCCGTGAGACGAGACGGAGGGCTGAGTAAATAGAGGAGCGAGCGCGTGTGTGTCAGTGGCAGCCGGGGCTCCCGTGTGCTGAGTGAATCAAGATCCACCTGCGTGTTGCTGTTTCTGCGTCATCAGTAGAGAGAGACCTGTCTGACTCAGCGACTCTGTGGGCATCGGCCAGGGTCAGCGGCGAGCGAGTGACTGCGCACCGGCGTGTGTGTTTCTGCCCGCACACGTGTCGGGGGGGGGAATCCCTGTCAGGGGGGTGTGTCTCCCCACAGCCCCGGCGTGAGGGATGGCGATCGATACGTTTTATGGCCTCTGCTCCATCCTATACAGATTTATTAAAGCAGAGGGGACAGGCCCGGCTCCCCTGGTCCACGCAGACACTTCATCACGCTAACAAGCTCCCCGCATCCCTGCCGGTGCTCCTCCGCTCACGGACCGACACACGTGAACATGCTTGCATGCTAACTGGGATGTACTGGTAACTAAATCTGCCCAGCTGCCCCATCACATACACAGATGTAAAAACAGCGAAATGCTGGTATTCCTTCATGTTCACTGGAACTTCGTATTATTGGCCTGATTTATATGTGCATCTTCGCCATCTTCACATTGCTGACAGCCAGGTCACCAGGATCTGCTGCTTTTTGGGGAAATTAACCCCGTCACGTGTCCCAAAAGGCCGTATGCGGCGCCCTCCTCTGTCCGTTTCTGGAACAGGGGCTTTATGCTGATGGTGACCGTGTGGGCCTTCAGAATTCACATCCTCCTCATCAGGTCTCCCCGGCCTGCTTCAAAAGGCCACGGTGACCCCCCGAGGGACACTGACCCCCCTCCCCCAATCATTGAGCAGGTCAGTGGCCCAGTTCCATGGAGCAAGAATGAGTGTAGAAAGACCGAAGAAGAGAGCTGGTGAAATGGTGAATGAGCCACGGGATTGAGTGAATGACGGAGGAAGGGAACGAGGGAGGAAAGCACTGAGGAGGAGGAAGGGCGGCACGACCCGTTTGCCTACATCTGTGACACGTTAAATGATAGGTAGGAGTGTGGCAGTAATGGCATCTAAAGCTCTCTCCTCTCCTCCAGTATGGTGGGCATGTGTGTAAGGACGTGTGTATCGCTGTTTGTGTGTGTGTGCCGGTGATAGTAGGAAGGGGGTGGGGGCTGTAGGCCATCATGCTGAGTGTGGCACCACGCGAGCTGTAATTTCCAAGCCGGCCTTTTGTGCGAACCTGGGAATTAAGTCTTACAGGATAATGTGCACTTGGCGAATTTAACCCCCTACAACACTGCCGCTGCCCTGTCACAACACGTCAGTGTGACGGAGAGAGGCAGAATGAAAGGGGGGAGAGGGCTGAGAGAGTGACGGGGGGAGGGGGCAAATAAGAGGACCAGCTAGCCCTCTTACCGTTAAGGAAATTGGCACTGAGATGGGGGCACCTTCAGCACGGGAGGCTAGTAAATTAAACATCGATAAAGTCACACCCCCCTCCCGGCAGCCCTTCTTCATCGTCGGTGACCCGAGTGGCAGACCTCAGTGAAATATTAATTGTCAAATCATTCTCTGTTTCTCCCTGGCTTCGCTCTCGGTCTCTACCTGTGCGAATGGGCGTGCGAGTCTTACTGCCCTACATACCATAACGGTGCCCAAGTGTGACACACGTGTTGACAAAGTGCTGCCTGGGAAAGGAAGAGAAAAGTGAAGATTCACATGCAGTGAGCTGAGCAAGTAGAGGAGTGCAGAGGTGGGAGGAGAATCTGCATGAAGGTTTATTTGCTGATTTGATGTTATTTGCTTGACAGACATTTTCATCCATGGCAGCTTTCAAAGCTGAGTGTTCTATCTAATCAAAAGGATCATTTAACTGAAGTGATTTAGGTAAGATCAGGACCTTTCACGAGGCTTGACCTTTCCTGCTTCTTTATAAGATGGAGAAGAGGCCTGCAAGAGGCAGGTGATCAGGCTGAACAGAGAAGTTCAGGCAAATCCTAATGGCCTTAACACCAGTCTCTGAGGAACCCCTGAACACGCACGACCAGCCCGGAGTTCAGAGCTAAAGCCCATATTCACCACAGAATTTAACTACTGGAACTCAGCACC